ATCAAATTAACTGCAAATTTACTAGCAAATCAAAAATATGAAACAATGTCCATCCATATTTAGATGTAAAACTGTAAATTACACATTTTTATTGTCAAGTATATAACCAATAGATATTTTTGCAAAATTCTCATTGTTTGATATTAAAAATCACAGTTGAGAGCAGAACATGAGAGTATATCAGAGCAAAATGTTTAGCAAAGCCTCAGCAACATGTCTTAAAAATAAAGTCTAATTCTTCACTAAAAATTTCACTCTAGCTCAGAGAGAAAACAAAGAAAAATCTCAATGGGAATTTAAAGGGAAATATAGTTCCACCTCAAACTAAATTATCATCATATTGCAATAGGTTTTGATAATTAACATGCACTGGACTTCAATATCATTTTAAAAAAATGCCATGAAGCACAATGTGTAATATTTCGTCTTTATTCCAAAGACATCATCAGACTTATGGTTTACAATGCAGGCTGCGAAACTTTTATATATTTACAAGCGGAAATGGCAGTTATGTAATTAGAGAACTATAGGACTAAAATATACTAACATTAAAATAGAGATAGTTTCTTACAAGCTTTAAGACCACTATTAAGTTGTGGCATATCGCGTTTTATCAAAAGTGCTTCTAAGATGAGAAGTTGATTAGGATTATTATTTTTACAGTGATATAATATTTTGGTGTTACTAGGAATCAAGTTACAAGGATTGAGTGGCAGGTGTGTGAGATCGAGGTCGGAATCAGCGTCAGGAAGTGAGAAAAGGTGTGAGATGTAGTTGGCGTCTGGACAAATGAGTAAATGTTGTGAGATGGCACTAGAATTATTGTAATTAGTAGCATGTTGGGTTAGTCTTGTGTGTAGGTTTCGTTCAGTTTTGCCAATGTATGTATGACCACAGCCTGGACATTTAAATTCATATATAACATTGGCTTTAGAGAGTTCCGGAATTTTGTCCTTTTTGGCACAGAAAATTGATGTCTTTTTTGTTTCATATATAACTATAGGTTTGATGGGAATTTTTAGCTACGGCGAATTTTACGAAGAAGATTGAAAACTAAACGTTCACCCTGTTTGCCTAGATATGGTATTCTAATGAAAATCTTACGAAGGTCATTCTCAGTATTTTGTTTAGAGGGGTTATTTTTAGCTATGATTTTGGTTTTGAGTTTGTGAATCAAGAATTTCCGGACTGTAAAGGCGGATCTCCACTAGACGATTTTTATGACGATCGTCTTAAAAATTCGCTGCGCCACATGCGCAGTAGGAAATAAAATCGTCATTCAATAAATCAAGCGCTCGACGAAAAGTAGAAACGGTTTCTACTTTTCGTCGAGCGCTTGACGATCGTCAAATTGAACCAATGAAATTTCATTCCGTGAAACTAATTATCTCTAAAGTCAAAATGGCTGCCACCAGTGGAGAAAACGAATTCCAACTAAACGATACAAATCCTGTAGAAAATATTCCGTCAGAGATTCAAATACTTGCATCTCCGAGGAATATCTCAGTGGTGCAACATTTTGTTGATCAAAATGTGGTGCAAGATGTTGAGAGCTCGATAAGGAAATGTTTTGCAAGCTCTCCGAGACTATAGTTGCTTGTGGGATACAAGCAATATAAACTACAAAAATAGGACCATGAAACTTAATGCATGGAAATCTTTGTCTCGAATGTTCCAGCGAGAAGGTAAGTGTTCTAAATTAATGGAGGACTTCAAGAAACTTGAGAATTTCACTTGTGTTGTTTGGTTATTGTGATGTAACATGTTAAACATGCTAAAGTGGACAGGAAAACTTCTCGACGTTTCTGCGTAAGGGTGTTCGTCTCACCATTTCGTTTGACTGTGTCCTTGACTATATGTGTTATTTCGTATTTTATGTCAACTCTAACAAAATTTGTTTCTTGCCCTTTTTTCAGTTCCATACCTTCAGAAAATTTTTAAGAACCTTAAAGATTCTCTAAAAAAATGCCTTGATAGGAGACGAGCATTGTCTAAATCTGGGGCAGCTGCTTCGACACTTCCAACATGCAAATATTTTGAGGTTATGAGATTTCTTCATGAGAAAACAAGCAATTTGAAACTCACAGCAATGTGGATCTTGAAATCCAAACAATACCAGAGAACATATTGGACATATCCTCATCACAATCTCCAGGACCTAGTCAGCCTTCTTCAAGCTGTTCAAGCAATCAGATGAGGCAAAATATGGTAAAAGAAAACGTCCTAATTCTAACGATCAACTAGACCCATTTCTTGACCATGTGAAGAGTATGGACCAGAAAATGGTAAATTATTTAGAAGGATTGTCAGGTAGAAGAGAAATGAAGATAAGGATGAAGCAGAGTTATTTTGTATGAGTCTTGTTCCAGTTTTAAGAGATATGGAAAAAAAGCAACTCAGACAAGCTAAATTAAAAATTCAACAGCTTTTGTATGATTTACAATATTCAGATAGCTAAAGAAAATTGTTGTAGAACTTCACATATCGCATTAAAATTAATAACATACTCTCACTTATACAAGATACATGCCTTCCAATGAATACAGATATATAGCAAGTGAAATCATTTATTTTAAAATTATAGCTTAAACATGTATTGCTAACTACATAAGTGAAAACCCTTCGTATGAAAACCCATCACATCACTAATGCTCATATTGAATATAAATAGCTTTAAATTTGTTTTTATTTTGAACACCTTACTATTTGCCACTGCCAGTCAACTGCTCCTTCATTATTAAAATAATCGGCAAATTGTTCACGAACCCACTTAGCTTCTGCACCATAGTTATTTGATGCACCAACATCTGTAATGTCACCCAATCCATTCATACAATTTGCATCTTGTCGCGACTCACCAGGGTTAAACTCATTACCCATTTGCCCATCTTGATCAGCAAATGATGGCGGGCAGTATAGATTTGAATCGTCATCTTCATTTATGCTCATAAGGAAGTTATGCAATGCCACAACAGCTTTAGTTATGGCAATCACATTATCAACTTTGGCAACTATAGGCCTATGAAACACACAAAACCGACTAGCACATATACCAAAAGCATTTTCAATGACACGTCTGGCTCTGCTTAGCCTGTAATTGAAAATTAGTTTCCTCTCAGACAGGTTTGAAAAAGGATAGGGCTTCATCATGTGGCGTTTTAGGCCAAATGCATCATCCCCTACAAATACGTGGGGTAGTACTTTCGTTGAATGGGTAATCTTGCCATCTGTGGGCATGTTGAGAAGCTTGTTTTCAATAGCATAGCCAAGATTGCTGTTGGCATACACGCTGCCATCACTTTGCCGCCCACTATCACCAATATCAACCAGTGTGAATTTATACTTTGCATCACTAACTCCCAACAAAACAATGCTATGAGTCTTTTTGTAATTAAAAAAACTCGATGCCTGTCCAGCAGGAGCAAACATCTGCACATGCTTTCCATCAATTGCTCCCAGCATATTAGGAATCGCGCCATGTCGCATGAGGAATATGACGTCATATCACCAAAACGGAAGTAACATTTGACGTAATTTCACCGTATTGTCGCACACGTGCGCCTCGCAAAAAGTTGTAACGTCGCAGACATTTTGTCGAATTGTCGCGCAAGATAATTGGCTATCTAATAACACGTGGTTAGTCATTTGTGTTTGTCTCAGCATATGTTTATTACAAATATGAAAAAATATTAAATCATGGATGCATTCGAAGAAAGATTAGCGGAATAAGTTAGGAAATACCCTCATATATATAAGACTCGTCCAGAAGGGATTATAAAGACCTACAAAAAACTACGAATTCATGGAAGGAAATCGCGAAAAGCTCGAAACAAATGATGCTGTTTGCAGACAAAAATGGAAGAAAATACGGGACCGATTTACGAAAGCCAAAAAGCGTTTAAATTCGAAGAGTGGCAATCCTGGCGAAAAAATTATACCTGCTATTGTCATTAGCGGTGTCGTGGTTGTCTAGCATTTTAGCAGAAATGAATTCATTTGATTCACAAAGAATTTTAACAATGCTGCCAATGCACCACTTGATATAAATGTCAACATAATTTTGAATTTGTATGCAGATTTCGCGCGGTTGTCGCATGGGTTGTCGCGTTTACTATAAATGCTTTATTTGATTGTCGGATGGCGCGTGCCCATACATTGCACAAACCAGAGAGTCGCGCGACACATGGCCTTAAGAGGGAAACCATTCCATGACATAAAAGACTGGAGTGTTTGAATTTGTTTTTTGAATAATGTTTGGTTAGAGCAAATCTTACATGCGCGAAAAAATAGGGAATTGATCCAAGTAGTTTTGCGGTTGAAAGGTTCGAAACTTGAAAAATGTGTATATTGGCCAGTATGAGTTGTTTTACGGAATATATTGATGTCATTATTTGTTATTTTGAGGTCTAGAAAGTGGACATGTGAGTCAGAAAAATCATCAAAAGTAAATTTAAGATTTTTATCAAAACTATTAAATTTGGCAAGAACATGAGGAATGTCAGAATGTCGCATAAGAACAAGAGTATCATCAACATAACGTCGGTAAAACTTAAAGTGCCTATGACATGTTTTCAAAAACGCAATATTATAATAGTTTAGATGATTTTAAGAACATTTGCAATATATTTTATAATTGAAAAATTTCATCTTCGTGAATTTTGGATGGCTCTAAGTTGGTTATTTATTGCTTGTCCGTGATGTCAAAAGACCTAGGGCGAGAACTTGGAAAAACGCCGGATCTGACGTCACATCGGGAACACGCTTTTCCCGAACAAAGAAAACACATTATAGTATATAATACTACGGATTCGAAATTTATTACAACTTGAGTCGAACAAAAAGTGTTTTAAATTGTGCGCATCAGGAATATTAAAAATGGCCTCGAGCTCTTCTGATTCCATTGAACAAAATGAATCAGATAATGATTCAATGTTAAACTACATGATGGAATCTGAAGAAAGTTTGATTACCACGGATAATCAAAGTGACTCTCTGATGTCTCTGAACAGTCTATTGAATCACAAATGCTGCCTTATCAAGATGAACCTGTTGCTGATGAAGAATGGGTTCAAAATTATCATGACGGATAACGTGAACGTCAAAATTTGTTGGAAACTCTGCGTAGTAGATTCAACAATCGTGTGACTTTGGAGCAGTGGTGAGTGTATTTATTCCTTTTTAAAATATTTACAAGTTACGGGCCATAATTCACTTCACACAAAGTCAGCGATTATTGTGCTGCGTTTTTTGTTAGCATTGTCAATTTAAACTAGTAGTTATATTGCAACATGAACAAATGCTACTTTGTATTTGTAGGTGCATTTGTGGTAATTGCAGAACTAATCTGCTTCAAAATGAGAAAGAAAGTCAATGTTGCCAAGAGCTCGACGAATGCATAGAGTCCTTAAAGAATGAAATGGTGCTGGATGAATTGAAAATTGTCCCAAAATGCATTACACTTCATCCAGCATTCAATTCAGTGTGTCTGGATATTTGGTCATTAAGAATGTCAGGCCCAAAATTCAGAAAAATAGATGGAAGAAAATATGTGAAGCATGATGATGAGAACAGGTACATACCTGTATGCTTTCATTTAGTTCAATTAAATTGTTTCATGTAATAACTTATGACAAAGATTTATTTTGCAAATTTAGATATTTGAGAAGTGTTGCATATCGAGAATTTACCCAGCTGGTGCATGGCTACTTAGGGAATAAACGGATACCACTACCTGCTTGTGCCTATCATGCAATAAGGACTCGATTTGTGGGAAAAGATTTTCAGGGTTATGATGATGAAGAATTTGAGGATAAATAATTTACTACTTATATGCCAATGATTCACCCTCATTTTGATTCTTGTTTTGTGGACAGTCCAGGACCTGTTGGTGACCTTTCATTGGTTTCCCACAAGTTCGACAGTGTGGACGAAGTTCTTGTTATATTAATGGTATTTTCTGACATTGTTAATGGGACTAAAATATTATAATTTTGAGATTGTAATATTAGACATCATAACTGTAAGTAATTAATAAAGTATGTTTTAGTCATACCGCTGGTGGTGGTACATTTTCAACTACCATTTTTTGACGATTGATCTTTTTTTTAATTGCCTCTGCTTTTGATTGTCTAACAAACATGGTATGCATTGGTGCAGGAGACATATTTGACAGTTCTTCAGATGCTTGGTTGCTTCCTTAGGTTGCTATCACTTGCTGCATAAACACTGCAACAGAAACAACCCTTATCATATATCAATGAGGACTGCTATCTAGCATGTAGTAACATAAAGAGTTTTACCATTTTCCATCTGAATAATCTGTATCACTGCCTTCTTCACTTGATGTTACATTTGCTGAAAGTTCATCCTCAGCTTCTCATCTGTATTGGAATCTTGTGATTCTTGATCCCCAGAGTCACTATCCATGTGCTCCATTATCTTCATCAATTATATCAGAATGATGAGCAGCATCATAGATGTTATTTTCTGAACATGATCTGAAAACATAACTTAATTCGCCAATTTACATAATCATTTTAGTTTATATATAGCTCATTAAATTTGATCAGTATTCCCTAACTGATACAATTTATTATATTTTCACCTAATATTGATTACATTATACAATAGCATACCAAATCTCATTTGAGCTTTATAAAACAGCATCTTTCTCTTCATTTGGAGCAGCTTGCTAGTCAGTTTCACACAGTTTTGACATTTCAGTGGCAATGTTCGATCCACTTGTCATTTGCATTTACCCACTCCTTCAAATAAACCACACTTTCTTAATTTTAAAGTACAAGGTGTATAATAATATTTTTACAAAATACTTTTAGTTTGAATATTAAATATTTCTTAAAAGGGGAACTTGAATTTACACTTGTGGTAAACTGCTCTAATGAAACAGCATTGATAATAGCCCAATCAGTGTATTTGCTAAGCAGTTATTAATGTAGGGTAAATTGTTCGCAAAGAAATATTGTCATTGTTGGAAGACGTAACTCTATTCATTTCAATTTCATTCAAAGTGAGCTAATCAAACTTACATGTGCTGATTTGCCAGATCTTTGAGTGGTCCATGAAAACTGTTATCAGTTTCATCAATGAAAGTCATAGTGTCTGTTTGCATACATTCATCTGTATTTTCAGCAGATACATTATTTAAAGAAGTGCAAGGCTGAGAAGATTCTATATTTTGGAAATTGCTTCCTTCTTGACTCACGCTGCACTCTTCGTAATTTGTACACCGAGCGTGAAATACCTATATCAATAGTTTTGTGAAATTACTTCCTAAGTTAGCAACACATAAATGAAAGGAGAACCTTAAATAGATTTTTTATATGTAAAACTCACAATGCGACGACGATCTCGTTCTGATAACACGGTTTCTGTTTCATTAAGCTTTGAAGGCCAGACACATATGCCAATATTATCCCTCTTAAGTGTGGGAGCTACAAGCAGTGGTGTATCCGAATTACTCACTCCCATCTCACCAGTAAAGCGACACACAAATCATCCTCTTTAAAATGCTTAGAGCAAACTTCGGAAGACGCAGAAGGTACCCAATTTTTCGTTTTCTTTTGACAAAATCAACCCAAGCTTTTCTACGTTTCTTAGCTTCTGGTCTGGTATCATTCACAAATGGGATTCTATGGAGAGCAATCCCCTTCTTCGAATTTGATGTGTTTGAACATCCAAACACGACGCATCTGTGTGGCATCTTACCGGAAAATTTTTTTAGCAAACTTCTTAAAAAATATATCTTTTAGTGTTTGCTATAATACTAACGTTATAGAATAGCAGAAACAATGATCTAGTACCCATTCTACTAGATACCTGACTCAGCCAAATTTGTATAGTAATGAGTGAGGCAAATTTCTACGCGGCCGCCATTTGCAAAGGTGGCAAAAGCACAATGGCGGCATATAAAAACATTAAGTCTGTGCTGAGAGAAATCGACTTTGAGAGCGTTTTTATGATGCTGTTCTACTGAAGTTGCATTAAAAATGGTGAGTAATTTCTTTAACATTGTTAAAATGTGTAAAATTTTTAAATACTTGAGATAGAGCGGTCTTAATGTGTATTTTGCGACCATAAACTTAAGGCTGAGAGTTACATAAGTATGAACTACTAATCGTGAGTATTTATTAATTTACATCTTCTTTGCTGTTCTCTATGCTTTTATCGTAAACCAAAACATATTTACAGAAAAAAGCGACAAAATCGCATAACAGCTATCCAGAACTTTGATTTGAACACAACGTTTACGGTTTATATGAATTATTTTACCTGAACAACATAATTTTAGATCTATTAACAATATGACTGCATCGTTGTAAAATGCGCTTATTTTCACTATTTACAATAAACCACTATTAATTATTTTTTAGGATTTACATTTCCTTGGTTGTGGTGTGGATGTTCATCGAAGTCGACTAGATTCCTTGAAATAAAACAGCTTCGTAGATTGCTGGCGAACACCAATTTTGTTTTTGTGGAGGATATCTTTATTATATTGCTTACCATAGGTCGAAAGTCGTAAATGGATGTATTTTTCAATGATCTGTTTGATAAGCTGTGATGAATGTAGATCTTCAGTTATTGCTTCGTGATCAACATTATGCTCGTTGAGTTCAGGAAACAAGCTCTTTTCTGCAAGCTCTTGGTTAATAAGATGAACCATTATAGTCTTCAAGTTTCTCCTGCTGGAAATTTTTTGTCTTTTTGAACGAGTTTCATGAATGAGGACTTGAAAAGCTCTTTCAGATGCAAATATTATTTTGGTCACACCATTAGAAGGCAGAACAAGACCACCACGATGAAAGATAAAGATGTAGTAGTTTGGAAGTGTGAATAATTATGATCATGAACTGATGATGATTTTTTTGACTTAAGCAAAAGAGCTCTTGCACATTCAGTACAGGTGATTCTATTGATTATCTTTTTTACAACAAACCCAGCAATATATCCAAGTATTGCTTCTTTGTATGATGACAGTGAACATGATTCTAATCCAGAAATTAAACTACTGACATATTGTGTGTCCTTTGGTGTCATCTCTTCTACTTCAAAGGCTGGAGCATTTCTTTTATTCCATTTTAATGAAAAAATAGAACCTGCAGATTCATTTTTGAAAGTCAAACAGTTTGCATTCTTGGAACCAATGATGGAATTTCTTAAAAGAATTTTTCGTAGACTGGACTTAAATTGTACAATATCTGGATTATTGTTGAAGCCATTCTTACCACGTATGCATGCAAACAGCAGCTCAAGGTGGTCTTGGGACATTTTGTATGTCAGAATGTATTTGAAAGGATCATGTTCCCTTGTAAGGAACATGACTTTCCTCGAGCAAATCTATTTTAGCTTTTTTAGCGCTTGGTGATGATGTTTCTGTCTCTCTTTTGGCAGGAGGCTTTCTTTTTGACTTTTTAGATAGTAGTCTCTCCGGAAAAGCGAACACTGAAGGTATCGCGTCTAAGTTTAACTTGCGTTTATAGGCATTTTCAGTGTTATAATCATCGTGCAAAAAATGATCGCTGCAAAGAAAGCTGTTTGCGTTTGGGGTAAAGTTTTTTCGTTTCATAGCAATGACCCATCTTTTACAGAGGTCCTTATTTTCAATGGGAAATTTGTGAAAAGCTATGTTACTCTCTTTCAAAAAGCGATTTGTACATCCATACGCGGCGCACGATTTGACCATCGAAAAATCGAAAATTACGCGCTTTGCAGCTAAAATGTGCTTCTTGAACGTTGTTTTAGAGTTGAGGATGTTATACCTGTGTTTGTTTTTAAGATTGATTGCTTTCAACGTTTTTCAACCATATATTTGAGTCAGTTTGACATGTAAACTATACTACCGTATATTGCGTGTTATGTTTTTTGCCACCTTTCAAGATGGCGCCCGCGAATAAAATTTGCCTCACCGTGACAACGGCAGTTAGATATCTAGAGGATTGGGTATAAGCAGTGAACTCGACATTTGAATAACTGGAATGATAACCGAAGCCAAAAATTGAAGCCAAAAAAATATTTGTCGTCATCATTCGTCATCACACGTCAGGCTCTAGTCTCTCGCGTGTTCATTTTAATTTTTTTAAATCATTTGTCCCTTGGTAATGGTAGAGTTCGGATCTTGATCAGAGCGTAAAAATAACGAAATTTTGGAATGAAAAGGTTCACGGAAAGTGAATCAAAGTGATAAATCGAGAAGCAGGGTGAGGTGAACTTAGTCGATCTGCTTTTACGCTGCGGTTTTCCTTTAAAACATATCAAAGTCTTTAAAGATATTCAATTACTGATATCGAGATGACAACCATTTAGTATTTCAAGCACTATCAAAATCGATGAAAGATACAATCGCTCTGTAAAAAGTAAAATGCGAGTTATAGACTCAACATTTTTTATGAACCTGGATATTCAAGTTTCTTTTTTCTTCGGAAAAACAGATCTTTAAATCCATTGAAACGACAAAAAAAGACAAACACTGTCTGACACCGTTTGAAAATTTACCTTCCGACGAAAGAAAAATTTATGCTTGAATATTTCCTCGTCATATTTTCTTATTGTATTGCCTTTTTAGCATAAAGTGTAATTTTCAGTTGGCTTTTCCTCGTTACAAGTTGTAAGTTACAACGAACTCACTGTAGTAAAGTTTTAGCTGTAAAAAATAACCTTTTGCGAAGAGTTGGCCTAGTGTGTTGTTTGCCCTAGTGTGTTGTCTTGATGTTGTTTATATGTTTATGCTTTTGCAGTTTGTATTCAAATTTATAGTGGCCGTGTATGTTTGGCACTCAGGGGAATGAAACTGACGTACAAACCGCGTGAATATTCGACTTTGAAGGACTGGAACTGACGTACAAACCGCACAAGAGACTAGGACTTTGGCTTCAATTTATATATATAAAATGTATTGTAGTTATCATTCCAGATATATATATATGGAGTTCACTGGGTATAAGTCATTGAGCAGAAATGCGTTCCCGATGTGACGTCACACTGGCCATTTGTCATTATTAATTACCAGTCTTTTTACTCTCACGGTCAATATGAAGAAATGTTCAAAATCCGCAACTTTAAGGTGCTCAAACTCCACAAAGATGAATTTTTCAATTATAAAATATATTGCAAATGTTCTTGAAATCATCTAAACTATTATAATATCATCGTTTCGAAAACATGTCATAGGCACTTTAAGGACACCTGAGTTGATCAAATCATTGACAATAATGTTTTCAAACTCAGTGAGAATTATATTAGCTAAAAATATAATAGAATAGAGAAAGACATACCGACGTTCTTATAAAACACCAACTCAGTTCGTTTATTTAAGCTAGTGTTAAAGTATCGTCAGCAGCAGCAACAGAAGATGGATCGTGACTAAAACACCACACGAGTACATACGAGTACATACGAATACATACGAGTACATACGAGTAACATACGAGTACATACGAGTAACATACGAGTATTTTCTGGTCAACAAATGATAAACAACACAATTTCTTCAATACATTGATATTTGCGTTTATTTTCCTTGTATTTGTGTGGACTTTGGGGCAACCATTCGATGGATTTATATACTGAAAAGGTATTTTACTTTCATACTACATTCATTTGTATGTTTTAGTTGAATTTGTTATAGATATTTTGTCGATGCAATTTGCCAGTATTTGAGCGCTTTTTGACACACTTTCACCTAGGAAATACATATTTATGAAAGCGATTATACATTCATTTTGGTCTTTAAGATACTGATTTTTCAGTTAAAAGACTGAATTATATCAGCTAGAACTTTAAAAACATTAAAAGTAAGCTGAAATTGTACGCATAATATGATACGTAACACAGTGCAACTCTCATTTGATTCAAATATATATAATGTACATTTATTTCATATAGCACGTTTTGAAAGCATTATTTATACGTTGTTTATTTAATCGCTTTCATAAATATGTATTTCCTTGGTGAAAGTGTGTCAAAAATCGCTCAAATACTGGCAAATTACATCGACAAAATATCTATAACAAATTCAACTAAAACATACAAATGAATGTAGTATGAAAGTAAAATACCTTTTCAGTATTTAAATCCATCGAATGGTTGCCCCAAAGTCCACACAAATACAAGGAAAAATAAACGCAAATATCAATGTATTGAAGAAATTGTGTTGTTTATCATTTGTTGACCAGAAAATAGTCGTATGTCACTCGTATGTACTCGTATGTTACTCGTATGTACTTGTATGTTACTCGTATGTACTCGTATGTTACTCGTATGTACTCGTATGTACTCGTATGTTACTCGTATGTACTCGTATGTACTCGTGTGGTGTTTTAGTCACGATCCAGAAGATGAACCAGTTTGTCCAATAAATATCATTGTGAAATAAGACTCTGCAAGAAATTAGTAAACCACTTCAAAATTCCCAGACATCAATAAAAACAGCAAAGACAGTTTGGACAATCATTACAAGTTTAACAAATACACAATGAATTTGGTACGAAATATGTTCACAAATAACTCATACATCTACATTACTGATCATAAACAAATATGAACATTATGATACCGTGTTAAAAATGCTGAAATTTTGAACGTTGAGAGTTAACGTGAAGCAGCGACAACCAAATGCAATGAAGTGGAAATTTCTAACGAAGCAAATATACTGTTTGAATTCAAAATAATAGAAACTTCTAAGCAACGGAAATGCAAACAGTGGGAGCTTCCCACATTAAAATGGGAAAGCCCCGATGGAAAGAAAAACCTGCTTTTGAATTTTGCTCGATTTGAGTGGAATATTGATCATAACCCGAATCATGGGAACATAATTAATTTAAAAGTAAGCCACTATTTATCGAATGTTTTCGATTGTGAATGACTAATTTGCTTGACTAAAACTTTTGTGGGAGTTCCCTAAGAAATGTTGGGAATTACCCTACAGAACCACTCTTGTCAAATAATACTTCAAAAAGCTTACACAACTGTATAAAATCAAATCTTAAAATAACAAAGCATTTTGAAAAATACAAATAAATAAAACAATCAGACATATACAAAATCAACTTTTTCAATCACACAACACGCTATCATTAAGGCCCTGTTCACACGATACCGGATTATTTTTCATACCGGATAGGCCTTGTATTGCGTTCATACGGCTCCGCTGAAATCCGATACGCTTTATATCGTTTTACCCGGTATCATAATGTTCATATTTGTTTATGATCAGTAATGTAGATATATATTGCACACGACGCTAAAGCGCAAATACATGACGATAAAGAGCAAATACACGACGTTAGCAACAACAAAAAGTCAAAATGGCTGCTCGAGAGAGTCATTCGATTTCTGAGCGACATCCATCTGTGTACTGTGATAATGAAACTTGTAGTCCTCTTATTGTACGTTGTGGTCGAAATGACTGTGGCGCTGAAAAATGCAATGGAGAGATGTATCATTGTCCTTTGTGTCCTCCTGAAAAATTTTCAAAAGAAATTCCATCAAGAGTAAAAGAACACTTTAAAAGCGTCCACTGGGAAAACAGGATTCATGAATTTGAAGGTAAAATGTGCTTATTTCTGCGTAGGTTTAATACATAACCCACGTCAATGAGCGAAACGCACAAAGAACTTTGGATTAAATCACAAGTATTGATTAAATCATGAAGAATTTAGGTAATTTTAATAAATAATTTGAGAAATTGGGTTTAAACTTATAAAATATTTAGTTTTCTAAACTGCATCATCACAGCTGAAGATAGGTACTCTCAATTATAAATGAAAACCACATGCTTTTAACAGAAACTAACTTTGTGCTGTGCTATTTCCTAAAATAGAAAAGCATTATTAACCTATCTTATATTTATTGAATATCATTTGATTGTATGCTCATCTAGTTAATATTGTATTCGTCTCACTATATATCCATAATATCCTATCATTTCCATATTCTTTCTTTACTATTTCTTGTTTTTTTTATGTAAGGTTTTGACATTCTGAGGTGTAAGCTGTCATGTACTTTTGCATCCAAACGACATGGCTCAGATGTCAAGCATTTCAAAGATGTTTCGCACTATCACTGTTTTGGATGTAATTCTGGATTCAAGCGTCGCAATGAAGCAATTCGACATATAAGAAGTGCACATGATTTACAGCTTTCTGTTGTAGAGTTTGGTTCGGGGAAACAACAATGTTCTCAAAGTCAACTTTCTCCACATAAAGTAGCCCAACAGCAAGTACCTCAAAACCTACCATTTGAGCAGCAAATGCATCAAACTCAGTTCCCTCAAGTTCAGCAGCATCAGCTGGAGCACCAAGTGACCACTCAGCATCTCACACAGCTGCAAACACAGCAACAACAAGAGCAATTTCTACATATGCTATCTGAGGAAACACACCAACAAAGCAGCACAAACATAGAAATGTCTGAGGTTCAACAATATCAGGAGTTTTCTTACATGCCTGCTCAGTCTCGTTCAATGCGACAACAACCACCCAGAGTTAAATGTCCTTTCCCGACTGTAAACGAATTTCATCCAAATTCCCTTTCAAGCCACATAAAGACCAAACATGCTGCTGATAAAAGAAAGAAAATATCTTCAATGAGGTACTTGAATGGAATATGTGTTGACTCGACAAATGGGGTTTATCTTGTGAGGAAACAACTTAGTGGAACAGATCATCCCATTCATTGTCAATTTAAAACCACAAACTCTCCTTCTATTGCATGTAGTGTTGATACATGTCGTCAACTTAGCGAAACTGCTTCAAGAAGTGGTCAAGCAAATTTTCTTTGTGATCATGTGCAGTCTACATATTTTATTGGGACGTCAACTGTTGTTGATCATTTAAGAGAAGATTCTCTTGATTATATAGTGAACACTTTGAAATGGTTGAAATTTGAACGGAGGTCTGAATGTCTGCAGTGGCAGAAACAAGCTAATGACAAGAATACCCCACTTGTTGTTCAGATGCCTGTCACACCTGATTCCTCCAATCGTTTCTTTCATTTTTCTGTGTTTGCAAATGTTAAACGGGATCATTACTGGTCATTTTGCAAACGAGTAATTGTATCATATGACAATGAAACTTCATCATTTCATTGCAAATGCTGCCCATCTCGTCGTTCCTGCATGCATAAATGCATTGTTAAGTGGGCAATTGGACAGTGGCATCCCTCTGTTGTTGGCACCACCCACCAATTGATGATGAAATTGGTGAAGATTTAAGTTTACCAGAACCAGAAGATAATGCTGTTGAAGACGTTCTACTTGAAAATCAAAATCAAATTTCCCTATCTGGCAGCTTTTTTTATCCTCCTTCTGGAGATGTGGCTGCAAAGTTTGTTGAATACCTGTTTGCTGAAAAGAAAATCCCTTCACACCTTCCTTTGACATTAACTGTGGAAAAGGAACAATTTGCTAAAAGGTAACTGTTTATTTAAATCGAACAAAGCAACCTTTTATTATTGCATTGTCTTCACTCCAACGAAAATATTCTCCAACGGTTTAGTTCCTTATTGAAAATGACATTCTTTCCATTAACTAAAACAGCAAAAAGATTTATTGTTTGTATTGACATTGTCTTGTCTCCTAGTTACCTTCCTGTAGAAACCATCTGTTTTATTGTAAATCACCACTAACTGAGCCACACTGTGTAACAAGAAATGCAAAGTTGGTAACTATGAAAGGGATTATTGAAGGTTTGTCATTAATATGAAACAGCGTGTATATATCATCGATTTAAATCTCGAACTTTAGATAAGACATTGAGTTGAAGATAAACCCAAAATGTACAGTTACACATTTTATGGATTGTTTTGTATAGTTACCAGAGTGCTCAAACCTATAACGGTGAGCTTTGCATAGGGCGAAAGCGTTGAACGTGTCATATGGACTCTCTACGTAGTCTGTGGAAAATGCTCAAACTATGCATGAGCAGAAAGCGTATTATACAATGTATACATATATGTGTGTGTATCTTTTCTTTGTTCTTCCAGGAATTTCGCTGTTTGCAAAGTTTTGTGTCGAGTGCAAGATACCGTACAGATACCAGGAGTATTCAGCTGGTGTTCACAATTTTAATGACAACTGGCTTTTAAGTTTGGGAATATGTGATATGATCAGAAAACATCTTCAGGTATGTTATTTTAAAGCATTTAAGAACCACTTGTCACTATTCCTTCCTCTCTTTTCTCTTGATGTAAATTTTTTAACTGGGTGATGGCCTTAACCAAACTGTGCATCATCCATATTGTACCACCCACTCCCCAATTTTGCATGTTGATAGTTAAGAAAAACAAGGAAGGGATATTAATAACCAGGTATGCATGCTATAAATGAGCATGTATTGTATGAAAAATATAGGTTCACAACGCTGTCAGTCGCACTGTTGAGGCAATTGAAAACTGGCTGCAGTTGCGACCATTTCAGTTACCACGTGGTCAAATGATGAACGCGTATCTTCACTTTGAAGCTCTCTCAGATCATGACTATGGGTTTTCTTGTGTTTTGTGTGGACACTTTCCTCCCTGTTAACTCTAGATGTAGACAAGAAAGGAATCTTTGAACTAGCGGGTAAATTTGACTGATAATTTGGCAAACTTTTTTTATGAGTGGTTTTTGTTACATACTTTTACATTGTCATTTTTTAGGTTTGTTGACTTGAATTTTGATTTTGTTAACTTGTATTCATTTGCATTGTAGTTAGTGAACTTCAGTTGCCAGACCCCGAATCCGATGCTCCTGCAGATGAAGTGGACGCTGAAAAGTACTGGCAACAAGTGAACTGTGGGATCTTATACAGAGGAGTATTGAGAGGTACGTACGTGCTACAATGTTTATGTACTCACTGCACGTGAAAGTTTAACGTTTTTTCTTACATAATTTATTTTTTGGTTTATTTTTGTTTACAAATCCGGTTTATTTTGTTTACAAATCCTTATGATTGATTTGTTTGATGTGCACGTAGCGTATACACCATCTGGTGTGTTTGAATTATGATAATGCTTGTAGTTTTTCAATTGTTTGTAGGTACTGAAAAAACCCTTTAGAAATCAAGCCTTCATATAAGTTTTGGGCCCCATATATTGGCCCAAAATGCAGAAGAGGAAGGAAACTTTTTAATACCGAATACATGAAAGCGTATCATAAACAAAACCTAACATCAGCTGGGGCTACATCTGATGAATGTTCAATTGAAAAGCTCATGGATTTGTTCTGTGAAGGAAAAGTGCGTATTGCTATTAATTATTAGGCTGTGTAGAAACTTTTGGGATGAGTTGGTTTACATAAAAGTCATTCTCTGTGTACTTTTAGGTACCTGTTATAAGAGAAATGGCCAGAAGTTTAAATGTGAGCGACAAGGGGTCGAAACTTGATATAATTAACCGTATAAAATCTGTTTTGAATATCGAAGAAACGTTTCTTAAACTTTTCTCAAAGATGTGGGTGGTTCAGGTAAGGTTAACTTGAAATTGTTTCACAAAGACGACGATTTTCGTAAAGCATTATGTATTGTGCTTCTTACCTTTATTCCTACCTACATACGTTTTATACATTAATCTTTTGTGGATATTGGTGTGTTAGCTTACAAAAAATTCATCAAATGGTTTCCTTTTCGGGCAAAAGGTTCAGGTTCAATTCCTGTCTGATGACGTATGTGAGTTAGATATAACAAAAACATCATAGTTTTGTACTTTTATGTGTTAAATTTGTTGATATATTGAGTGCACATTGTGTGAGAAGACAGCAAACTTAGCAAATTCATTATTATAATTTCAAATGGATAAATAATTTTATTTTTGGCACAGGCGGTTGGTTGGGAATGACGTGTCCACATGGAGTATGCTATGGTCTGAAATGGCTATTGCGACAAGAAGGACCACGAGATCATGTGGACATGCTTATGAATCTCGCTGCTGTTCCGAATGTTACCATATTGGATATGGCAAACATGATTGTAGCTCATGCAAGGAACAGAGGATACGACGTTTTCATCCATTCCAAGGTCGTGTTGCTGAATATAGCCTGGAAAATATCAGACGAGCTAATAGTGGTGAGCTAGAGATAGACTGGCCTTGGTTTCCAAACGGAGAAAGATGCGACTTGTCAACTGTCGTACAAAGGTCGGATGGTGAGCAGCTTCTGTGTAATCCCTCAACTAGATCTTCTGATCATTACTGCCTGTTTGATCAATTTCACGAGAAAAATTCCACGAACCCAGCCGATTGCTTGCGAAGAGTGTCTTGCGTTAACCAACTTGCCGGGAAGATCAATTCAGAAACTGCTGAACAACTCAACAACAGACGAAACCGTGATAATTACTTCACAACATCTTTGACAGCTCACAATTCCGTCTTCATGGAGCGATTGGCAACTCATTTTAGTAATGAGAAATTAAACCAACGTATCATAAATACTCATCGCAAGCAGGTAAGTGAGTGTTTTATTCTTTATTTTTAATGGAGTCTAAGTGATGTTGCCTTTTCCAGTTGCCGGAATAATCTTTTAAAATGTATGAAATCTTCTGTCTCTTCACAGTTTGGAATGGCTATGAGTTTTAACTCCTTCGGTCAACTTATAAGTAGAAATGAAGATGATGGGACCGAGCAGGCATCACAACCAAAACGCGTCCGTTTGTCGACTGAAAGTCTTTCAACAGCTAACAGACCTGCCACAAGTAGCACTGGAACACTAAATGATGCTTGTGATGAGTTGACACACGTTGCTGAGAAAATGAATCCCTCAGCTACAAGCAGCTACGACCTTGTTATAGACTAGTTGTGACCTCGTCAGTCGTCATCAAAGCTTAAGTGATATTTGACATAAAGGAAGCTCAATTTCTGTTTGGTTGTTCACAGCTTGGCAAAGAACATTGTAACAAGTCGAATTCCAAAGTCGAATTCCATTACCATCTGTAGATCTAATTTCAATATATATACTTATTCATATAGAACTGATGTCCAATGCCTGAACACTAAATTCAAATTTCTTTCAAGCATTTCATCAAATTTTCTCAAATTCTTATATAATTCATAAAACATCTAATTATACCTAATGTGAAAATTTTATGTAAAATAAAGACGTCCTTCGATGTGAACTGATATCTTTATACTATACGTTATACTATATATATAGTGTATACATAAACAATTTTTGCGCATTGCTGTAACCTTTAAAATGAGCACTACAGGAATCGAACCCATATACTAGAAACAGCTAGCAAACCATTATGCTCGTTTAAAGGACAACAACAAACTTTTTCTGTTTTTCCATCAAATTTTATCACGTTATTGATTGTTCTTAGTCTCCTTGATTGATCACAAACGCAAACTACTGCAAAATACAAATAGCTGATATTAATGTTCGAGGCATATAAGAATATTATCCCAATTTTAACGCAACCTGGGCACATTCACTTCTTCATTCAGGCCATGCAGTAAAACTTATTTTAAATGACAACTTTTCCCAGAACTGTTTCACCCCGAATGATAGGTCCCAAAGAAATTATGGATTTATCCACACTTGTTTTGAAAGGGATACGTTGCTCTAGTTTGGGTGAGATGTCAGTGAGCACTTGTTGCTGTAGAATCTCAAGTTTTTCTGTTGAATTCTGTTACCTTTTCATGGTGATTGGGAGAATACTGGAAGAGTGCTCCATCAAACACTCAACGATATTAGTAGAACATCTAAAACATTCAGATGCATTAGACGATAAACGTTCGACACAAAAATAGCACAATTCGTTGCACGTTTGGCTCTGGTTCGTCCAGACCATTTGTTGTTTGTTACAACTCGTTGTAAAATAAGCAAATCAAACATATGATAATTAAATGGATTCAATAGACTCTTGAATGCTTTGCCGAACTACTTAAGAGGCAATATTATTATCCAATAATATAATTAGAAAATAGTTTATGACGTTAATGATAGAAGAACATGGAAATCTACATGTATGTCTTATGTCTAATAGGAAATCTCTATAGAACTGTCCATTGAAAATCTTGTTGTTTTAATGTTTTTCATATTACGTTTAAAGGACTGCTGTAATTGGAGAAAGTTCCTAGCCAATTGGTAGTAATCTATGTTACTTTCTGGTGAATATGTTGGGAGATTGGTGTCATACTTTATGGACATAGTAACGTTTTTTTACAAAACATTGAAATTTCTGGTGCAATCTTATATCATGTTTGGATCAATTGTTTCCTTTGGACAATTAATGAGTCGTGACATTCTACAATTTTTAAAACTGCTGAAAAGTGCTAATTCAACTTACTTTTCAGTTTTCTGCGTTTTTTTGCGATGCTCATTTTCTAACGGCTTATTACGATTCCTGGACTAATCGCAATAAAACGTGTATGTAAGCGTTAATGAACAAAAAATACAAAATTGAGTCAACTAAATGCAGTAAATTCTTTCTGAACCGTATTGAACATACTTGTACTTATTTACGGCACTCTAAGGAAACAGTGTGTTTTGTGGTTGAGAAACGCTGATGCATATTGCTCAGGAAAAAAGCTAAGGCAACAACAGCCAATGGTTTCGAGGCGAAAACGTAAGAGCACACAGGATTTTACCGTTAAAAGAATCATTAAATTAGTTAGTGCTGCATTCAATGTAGTAATCAGAAATTTTTATCTACCACAAATGTCACTAAATCAACGTCAGTTTTGCAAGCAAATCTTCACACTTGGCTTGGACAAATAACTGGAAACAGTGGCGGATCCAGTGTACCTCAAAATAAATTATAGCTCCTCAATTTGATATTCAAATTACATTCAGAAAAAACTATTGGTTTTGAATTTCTAAAGAATATAATTTTGCCAATGAATTTGCCTCTAAGATATATTGGATAAATGAACTTAACGTTGCGGTTTAACGATAAAATGGATCTATTAGCTGCTTTCGTTGAAAAGAACAGTTTCTCTCACTTCTTTCCACATATCACGTTGACACGTCATGGAAGTGCCAAATATTTTGTATTACTTTATCTCAAAATTTCTTTTAAATAAGATTCAATATGTACTAGTACGAAACCCTATGTAATGTACTTTTTAAAGTTATGGAACAATTATCTTTATAATATTGCCTTATGTTTTCTAACTTGCAGTACATCACATTGTATTTTTATCTCAATTTCAAAAAGTTGCCCGACTAGACGAACGACGGATGTCACTCCCCTGCCATACCCCCTCCCCCTTCCCAAGAAGTTTCAACCGTGTAGGACGATTAGATTACAAAATTGTATCTTTGAGTTGTTATATCATTGAAATTATAAGATAATATCTACAGAAACAGGCATGCACATGCAGCCAACAACTTCAACAGTTTTTAGAGGACACTAAAAGGTTATGCACCAGAGTTTATGAGTTTTAGAGGTTATGCACCCTCTCCGACAACACAGACATGAGACAATAAGGCCTGTCTTATACTTCACATTTTACATGAGTCAAATGCATTCAAAACAAAAGATAATGAGGAATTTCATCTCATTTTCTTTTATCTTTAATGCATTTGACGCATGTAAAATACAGTCATTAAACAATAAAGTCATTAAACAATACATTCATTGAACAATATACTCATTAAACAATACAGTCATTAAACAATACAGTAATTAAACAATACAGTCATGCTTGTCAGCCAATGGTAGCCCAGATCCCCCCGTAGCACAACGTGTATTTTGGGCTTTGACCGAAGGTGCTTGTGCCACTGCTTTGCTCAAGGCTGGTGGCGAAGATGCTTTATATGCTCTGCAAACCGTATCAATTGCATCTGGGTTGCCATACCTCGCTATTCTTCTTCTTATGTGCGTTTCTATTTGGCGTTGTGTTAAAGAGGAATTTGGTGATGTTAGTCCAGATTCAGCGAAGTTTAATGTCAGTTTATTTGATGTGCTAGATAACCCAACTGTTATTTCGCTGAAACGATTCGTGATAACAGTTGTTGCACCTTGGTTACCAGCAGGACGAGCTACTAAAAAGTTTTACAAAAGAAGTGGTTGGTCCTTCATGGCAATTATGGCATCATTGTTTTATGCTTGGATTTTATGTGAAATTCTTCATTTTGTCGACTCGGCTTTGCCTTATGTTGGTCGCATTTTTCTTTGTGGTTTTTTCGCTTACGTTACAGGAATACGCTCGTCCATACGACAAGAGGAGGAAATTCCAGGAAGTTTGCTGTCTGACGCATGCACAGTGGTATTTGTGTACTTCTTAGCAGTTGATCAAATGGAGAAGCATGTGCTGATCGGGGAAAAGCAAAACAAAGAGGATCCCAATGTTCCATTGGATAATCAAAAGATGGATATAATCCTGGAAAATCCCAAAACTAAAGTTAACGAATCAACGACGTTTGTTTGAAATGTTTGTTGACGAATGTTGTGACGATTGCGTTTCTAAAATTTTATGTGTTCATGTACCTCAGGAGCGTCCTCCAATGATTGTTTCGATTTATGATTTAAGATGTTGAAAGTCATGTAAAATTAATTATTTAGTTTGGTGTTTCTCGAAATGATTCCCTCAGTTATTTAATAGTTAAATAAAAATTTACAGTTGTTGTTCAAAATTTGTGTTATGTTCGAGTACATTGGAATGAAGAGTGTTTTGTAGTTAGAGATTCTGACTATAATCAACCCCACCCCTCCCTGCCCCACTGGGAAGCCAGATTGAGCTGAAACGATGTATTGAATATGTATGATTATTCGTGGACGGAGGGAACCTATTTACATCGTTAGGTTACTTCCACAAGACTTCTCGGTGATTTTTTTTGTAACTTAGACGGTAAATCATCTCAAACAAGTCACAACTTCATTTATATTCATCCAGTTTTCTACTAGTCGATTTTCGCCTACTGTAACAACGTCATACCGACAGTTTTAGAAACTACTTCTGTGATTTCAAAATATCAGCGTTAAATACCACTGAAGCTTCAAAATTAAAACCGTTTTTTGAGATTTTTATTTCATGCAAAATTTGTTAATTACCTTCCCTGTCACAGACTTGCGTAGCTTTTGACGTCCAGATATTTTTTATATGAAATTAAGTCGGCTGATAGAATAGCATAAAACAAAAAGAAGTGTCTAAGTCCTACTTCAAAGAAGTTTGTGCACATTGGTAAAAAGCGTATTTAACTGCATGTGTTTATAGTATTGCCCCTCCACACCAAAACGAAAAGTTTACCCAAGACATAATCATAAGGAATTGCTGAAAATTGTGTCTGTATCACGAACAAAACCGTCACTCAAAAGTTTATTTTTTTGTTTTCGATTCAAGTTCAATCTAATTGTTACATGTCACATGTTGTCGAAGTTCCTGGGTTACTCCATATTCATTTAATGCCCGAGGGACTATAACATTTAAATAATCATTAATGCATATTCGGCTGTAGCAACGTTCAACAATATATGACAAATCTAGAAAGTAAATAAAGATACAAGGACAAAAGCTAAATCCAATTATTGTGGTACAGTAATAAATCATTGAACATTCATCAAACAACAACACTATCATTTGTTTGTGTTGTTTGAAATGATATGATGATATAAACCATTGCAACAGTGGAAATTTTATGTTTTTCATTTTCATTAGTAGTCATCTGTTTGGTTGGATTGATGATTTTCAGTATTTTGTTATAAATCTATTTTGAAATAATTGTATGAAGCAAGGAAAAGTTCACTTAAAAATATTTTAATTATTTCTGTCGCTACAAGTGTATGCAAATTTAGTTTGTAAATACCAATAAATACCTTGTTATTACCTAGCTATTCATGATATTCTAATCATGTGCACATCTTATTTAGTTATGAAGGTACATTTAAATTGGTCAAATGTTTCAACCATTTTTCACCTCTATATTTTTTCCTAATTAGCTTAATAAGAAACTTTTGAAGCAATCGTGTCTCACATAATTCTCTATAATAAAGTTCACTGTGTGTGTGGGGGGGGGGGCGGGTTGTGCCGACCAAAATTTTCCGAATAAAAATCCAAACATACTGACATTATCTTGTGACAAATAAGATTGACATTATAATGTTAATCTTATTTGTCACACCACGGATCAATACTCATTTATTTTGAATGTGGAAAAGTATGCATTGCTTCAGTTATTAATGTTTCATACGTCGAGCACATTATTGTTCTCACTTCTCTACTACGTTGTCAAATTCAATTTGATCAATGAGATCCTTTTCAATTATAAGAAATATTAGACTAAACAGCCTAGAATCGCTTATTGAATTACGGGGACTACTGCAGTTTAGCGGAAACCTTAGACCCAAACCCTAACAAATTCTCTTCCATAATTCATTAAATACCAGGAAAGACAATCCTGCAGTTAATTTGGCATTACGAATTTACCAACCAGTCATAGTCTAATATTTTAGAACCAGGCTAAACAAAAAGGCACAAAGCGAAATCAATAAATGCAATTATGCCATTTACCTAACTTTTATTTTTTCGCATGTGAAATATATGAAGACAAACTGAATAAGATCCAATTTTCCAATTTAGTCCAGCTGTTAATGACAAAAAAACACCTAACCCTTCACTTTTATGATACAAGTATGAAACTTTCTCACATTCTTACTATGCCTAGTAACACAAAATTTTGATATAGGGCCAGCCCATATTTTACATTTAAAACGAGTTCTGCGAATGTCGTGTTTGATGACGTCATCGGTAGTAAAAAAAAATAAAGTTCAGAGAAATCTGCAATTTCCCTGTGTATTCTTATACAACAGCTAAAGACGATGGAAAAACTATATTACAACTTTTTCTTTTGGGCAATACTTTCCCAAATATTGTGCATGGAATATTCTGAGAAGTGTTGAGTCAGCACTTTTATATATATTATATAAAAAAAACCAAAGAACCTGCCGTCTTTGCCTTGAAGAAAGGCTACTTATCCTGAAAGGACGTAAAAAGAACATTTTAAATAAACGTTCCGATATGTTTAGTGCATGCCGTCATGTAACTTAACACCTTTTAGTCGATGTATATAGTCAGCAAATAAAATATTATCTGTCAGTGGCCTGAAGATCGCCCTACGGCGTGAAACCTGAGTAGCGACAGCAAACAATTGTCCATTTTATTTTAGTTCATTTTATATATATATATATATAGTGTATAACAATGTGCCCTCCCGGCTTTCACCATAGTGCAATGATAAATCGTATCGAAACAATGAAGAACATTCAATTAAGTTTCTTTAAGATTTATTACCTTACTTGTGTTAGCATTCAGAATACTTACTCATTCTATCCTTTAACATTTCAGGTTTTTAGCACTTTTTGTCACTTCATTGTTTTGAAACGCTTGAAAACAATCACCTAATTGATTGTCAGCTCGTGCATAAAAATCGTACGCACTGACTAACCACAAAGTAATCTATTATTATGTCCTTACTTGTTCTTGTTGTAAAACTTTGCTTTAAGATTGTAATGACGTGTGTCGAGGATTCCGCTCCTCAGCTGGTTCACTAACACTCTTCGTTTCGAACCTTTTATTTTACAAGCTAAACAAGCTACACAAGTACATCACTGGTGTATTTTTACGCTATCTATTAGAGTTAATTATTTACATGTTATTTATACTATGGGTAATTACATAAGTCGAGCTTTCCTTTACGTCATTAGCAGTACTCACTCTTTCATTGCGTTTCAATTTCTCACGCATTGCAACAAAAAAGAAGAAGAAACTAAGCAAACAAAGAACTTACAATATGTACTTAAAACAAGGAAATGTTAAAGTGAAACTAACATAAAGAATGATAGCACAGCGCTATAACCAACAACTACAAACAATAACGACCTTGTCTAACAACATTTGAGAAATTAACCTTCCACTCCTCTTCCTTGTAAACCAGACAAGTCTGCTCAAAAGCAGAGAGTCTTATACGCTACAAGTCCCGGGCTTGTGACCGGTATAGCAGGTCTAACATAGTTACGACATTTTCGAAACTAACATAGTTACGACAATTTCATTGCTAAGCTAAAAAGAATGCAATATCCCACACAACGTGCGCATATTTTGCGTGCTCAATTTAAAAAAGTGCTGAGTCAGCACTTTTAAAACACTTTTAATGTAGAATATTTCAGAATGTATTGCTCAAAAGCAAAAGTTGTAATATAGTTTTTCTATCGTCTTTAGCTGTTGTATTAAAATATACAGAGAAATTGCAGATTTCTATGAACTTTATGTTTTTTACTACCGACGACGTCATCAAACACGACATTCGCAGAACTCGTTTTAAATGTAAAATATGGGCTGGCCCTATATCAAAATTTTGTGTTACTAGGCATAGTAAGAATGTGAGAAAGTTTCATACTTGTATCATTCAAGTGAAGAATTTTGTCATTAACAGCTGGACTAATTATAGCGTAATGTAATAAACTTGGGGTGCTGCACCCTCAGTAACCCCTTCGGTACGGCCCCACTGATCTGATAATAGACTGGATATAGCTTCTACAGGTAGCAAAAGTGAAGCCTAATTATATATGCAAGATGCACTTCCGGGTACCACGGCGAGATACAAATTACTATAGAAATGTATGGCGGATAACGTTTACAAACATGGATTTTCGAATATTTAAGACCTTTCGCGACTCCTTACTAACCTCAAGTATTAGTCATGAAAAAAACAGGTTATACGAATCGATTTGACATCAAAATGATTCCTATAGCTGTAAATTATCGACGTTAGTGTTGATTTAAAAGTTGTACATGCGAGAATGTATTTTGTCCCATCGTTGCCAATGCAAGATAGTTCACTGCTCGCTTTCCAATTTCTGAGGCATTTATGATCTAGTATACGTTTCAGTTCTTTAGAAATGAGGTGAGTTACTTTTTTTATCATTCTTTCTTTATGTTGAGAGATTGTTGACATTTTATTTTTGCTGTAACTTCATTTTTTCATGAGCACTACTACTGTTACTGTACTTAGCACTACTACTAAGTACAACTGACGCTTAAACAAGACAAGTTTATTCAGTTTCTTTCGCACTTTATCTTTAGTTTCTATTTCTGTAGTTGTTTTTCTCAAATGGTATACTCGCACTTTGCGCTTAATTCTTTAAAGAAGTATGATTTTCATTGACATTAAAATCTAACAAATGCGTTCTACACACATTAGGACACTTTAGTAAACTGCTTTTGAAACATCAAGGTAATGTAGCCAGCCAGGTATGAATTTGCAGGCCCTTTAAGAGTGCAAAAGCTGGGTGCATTGTTTAATCTTTATAATCATCTTGGTTTTGGTTTGTCCCTTAAGCAAATTTAAATTATTAACAGCAACATAAGACTGTGTCCACAGTTTATAATTATAAGTGTATCCAATTGTATCCAGTATATCAGTTTCACATTGTCTTGTGCTAATTCCTTTACAGCCATGAATACTGCTTCTCAGCAACAGTTTATTGTCTATAGCTGTAAATTGGTCAACTGTTCGATTATTAAAGTCACACTTCACAAGTGAAATAAAGCTCTTGTCTTTCTTATTACTACAAGACTGATGATCAAACTATTGCTGAAAAGGATTCTAATGTCAACTGCAATTCATATTTATACCATCCCTAACTACATTCATATCTTAAGAATAATTTTAATCTTTTTGGAAAAATATTTAAGGCATTAATATTACATTCATACTAACTATGATCTTCTGGAATTTGCTTAGCACTTAGAAGAGGAAAATGAAATTTACTGAATGTAAAAAGGCAGTAATATCGTACATGGCTGGCTATATTGCCCAGATTGTGCAAAAGAAAATAAACTCTCCTGTTTGTCATGAAGCAGTCGGTTCAAGAAACCATAAAAATGAGTCTGCTTTCTTGACTTTAAAATACAGGGGTAAATTGTTTAAGCCAACAGCAAGTGTTATAGTAATATGCAATGAAACAGAGAGGTGCTTTCAGAGAATGTTGGCAGCTACAAATGGAAATTTACCGCAAGGGAAAGGAATTCCTGATAATATTGCTGTCTGTATTAAATGGTATAGATTTGAGGACAACATTCAAGGATCTCGACGCACACATGTTGAATACTTCTGTTCACGAAAATCATATTTACTCATTAAGACCATATCTAAATGTTACAGCAAGGTGCGAGTATACCATTTGAGAAAAACAACTACAGAAATAGAAACTAAAGATAAAGTGCGATAGAAACTGAATAAACTTGTCTTGTTTAAGCATCAGTAGTACTTTGCTCATGAAAAAATGAAGTTACAGCAAAAATAAAATGTCAACAATCTCTCAACATAAAGAAAGAATGATAAAAAAAGTAACTCACCTCATTTCTAAAGAACTGAAACGTATACTAGATCATAAATGCCTCAGAAATTGGAAAGCGAGCAGTGAACTATCTTGCATTGGCAACGATGGGACAAAATACATTCTCGCATGTACAACTTTTAAATCAACACTAACGTCGATAATTTACAGCTATAGGAATCATTTTGATGTCAAATCGATTCGTATAACCTGTTTTTTTCATGACTAATACTTGAGGTTAGTAAGGAGTCGCGAAAGGTCTTAAATATTCGAAAATCCATGTTTGTAAACGTTATCCGCCATACATTTCTATAGTAATTTGTATCTCGCCGTGGTACCCGGAAGTGAATTTTGCATATATAATTAGGCTTCACTTTTGATACCTATAGAAGCTATATCCAGTCTATTATCAGATCAGTGTACGGCCCTGACAATTGAAACCAATTGCAACCAATAAGTCAATCTATGACTGCAACAGATCAGCTTGCACAGTGGTGAAATGTAATATAAACATGTTGTTGTTGAGTTCTATAAGAATAGAACTTACAGGTCTTATAGAACTCAATGGTTGTTATTTGTAATATGTTGTTATTACAGTTCAATGGCATGGCAGCAACTGCTACTACCGCTGATTAAACATTCGTGGGCGCGGAAGTTAAGTATATTTTATACTGACAAAGTATTGTTAAAAAATTGTGTAATTTAGCATGTTGGTTTGGAGTACTCGTACTCCAGAGAGAAAATTCACGATTAAAAGAAAGTGGAATAGGTAAATACCTGTCAAGAATAAGTAACTATAATCATTATAGTGTTATATGTAATGGTTGGTGTTATACTTATAGTATATAATGCAATTTGACTAGAATAATACATGTCTTTAGACGACAAAAGCAAATACATGTTACTCCAGACTTTCATGGGGGATTTCTCACACTCATATAACGTGATAAACTGTATTAAATGTTTTAAAAGAGAATTTGTGATTGTCAATATGTCCTTTTGTAGTAGTTTTTAAAAAATGTACACTAGTCATAAGTCATTCCCTACATCCAATTTGGACAAGCTCTAGGTTTTTTTGACTCATTGTTAGCTTTAGTTTAGATTCCTCTCATAGAACTTATACACCAATGGCCAAAATGGCCACAATTTGAAAAAAACTACATTTGATGTATCAAGCATGAAATGAAATACATGGAATACATCTTCCTATTAAAATTATTAAATATGCTGCTTAAGTAAATTTGAGCAACTCTTTGATTTTGTGGTTCTAGATTCCATGGCTAATGATGAGTACCCACTAAGCCATGTTTTCTGTACTAAGTGTCAGAGAATTTTCTTATGGGAAATCAAAAATTTAAAATATTCATTGTAGAACCATTTTAGTTCATCAATGAAAGCAACTATAATTACTGGCCCATTGCTTCTTATGGAATTTGGTTATTGCATATAAATAAAGCAATAACGGCTTTGCACAAATGAAATTTGAAAATTAAGTGTCATCTCAACATATATATCTTTATATCGCAAAGACAGTATCAACAAGGAAGATAAAGACCTTGCTTCCACAGATATCACTCAGGTATACACGTATAATAAACTGATTATAAAATGGAACTAGAAAATATTATTTTGAATTGTTCTTTGGCCATTTTTATTGTATTTGCTGTAGTTTCAATTGAATTACTCTTTTGTAATCAAAATGTGATGTATGACTTCAATAAAAACTCTAGAAATATCCCTTTAATTTACCACTTGAACATTTGATGAATTTATTTTGATATATTTTGTGCATGGGTAAAACAATGCTTTATTTTTCAAATTACTAGCTATATACAGTCTTCATCCCAATGATGTGAACAATAGATTAACAATTGGAAATAATATCTACACATTAGAAATTAAAAACAAAGGTTGCATGTCAAAACTGTGGAACTTTTTTTTGGTTCGTTTGGTGTTACACTAGGGTTGGAAATAGAAAAAATATGTGTGTTTCAATCCCAATCTGTCATGCTATATCCTTTACTCTGCATGTTTGTTTCAATCCCAATCTGTCATGCTATATCCTTTACTCTGCATGTTTGTTCTAATCCCAACCTGTCATGCTATATCCTTTACTCTGCATGTTTGTTTCAATCCCAACCTGTCATGCTATATCCTTCACTCTGCATGTTTGTTTCAAATCCCATCCTGTCATGCTGTATCCTTTCACTCTGAATGTTTGTTTCAACCTCAACCTGTGGTGCTATATCCTTCACTCTGCATGTTTGTTTCAATCCCAACCTGTCATGCTATATCCTTTACTCTGCATGTGTGTTGCAATCGTAATCATTCACGCTCGCTATATATTCCACATTGCGGTACAATCCCGCATGAATGTTTCACATTTTTAGATTGACAAGGCCCTGGGTCATGGTGCATCGATTGAGCTGGAGCTTCTATTGGTCAGGTAACTAGAGCTGACATCATAACGCTGTGACCTCGCAAGCGCTTAACGACGAGGTCGTGAACGCATATTTCCATATGATTGCCGAGCGTAGTAAAAAAAATGGAGTTAGCGTTCATGCTTTTAATACATTAACAATTACATGATTACATGATCATAATCATGATCAGTTTTGGACATGTGCTGTAAAGGATAACGTAAATTATTGTTTTGTATATGTATTGCTGTTGTTTCTAATTTAGGAAGTAGCTGTGCTATGTGAATTACAATGCCAAAATTGTTTAAAACTTGAAAAGAGAACGTCGTTACAGGAACTTATGGTTTGGGGCAAAGCATAAGCTTCAGTGTAGCAGAACTTATGCAAGCAGTTCTAATATGGATATGCTTGCAGTGGGTAAGTGTTTTTTAAGATAATACGCCTGTTAATTTTATTTCATGTATGATTCTAGGTCAAGAGAAGATTTGCCAACGTAATAGGATCAGCCATGTTTAATAACCTCAATTTCTACAATACTACCAACTGTTTCTGTATGCACCCTGGAAAATTATTGACGTTAATTACTAAGAAATATGGACTTAATCAACCTTGTGTAGCTGCGCATTACTGAAGTATCTTATTTCATAGATGAGTATGACAACAACAGCAGCAATGAAGAATCATCAACTAGTAGCATCAACATTGCTCCTCCAGGGTATGTTGAAGATATATATCAAGTGTTGTGCTCTGCACTCATTGATGAGGAAACATTGAGAAAAGCCAAAGGTGATCTTTTACAAATGACTCCATTGCCAATGAATTCCATGTTGGAAAAGCAATCAAAAAGTGAAGCTATCTCAAAAAAAGCAATAAGACAAAGCATGCCAGCTGTACATTTCCCCCCAACTAAGCCAGGTTTTACAAAAAGGCATAACTTGCTTTCAGTTAATTTGAATCTTTTTTTTTTTGGAACTGACTCACTTTATTGTTTGATATAGCTGAAGTATCACCTGTCCAAGAAATAATCACTAATCAGAGAAATGAGAGAGCAGTACCTCGATGCACTGTGTGCAAGAATTGGATGAAAGGCCATAAGAATATAATGAACTGTCCAAAAAACCGAAAGTAACCAGTTTTTTAGGACCTGGTGGTATGAGCCCAGTTAGTTGGGATTCAGTGAAGTGTGAATTGACTGCATGGAAAGAATAAAGAGAAAGGAATTGTAATTTTGTATGTTTTGTATAACAAGTATAAGTGTGAATCGAAGATGCAATATATCAAGAGTGGCTTAAATCATTTCACACTTCACTGAATCCCTACTAGCTGGGCTCATGCAAACAGCACCTAAAATAATATAGAATGTAATGCTATTTTACAAATTGTCCTCTTCATACCCTGCAAAGTGTTTATTTATTTTTAAATTAAAAGTTTTTCGAATAACATATTAAGCACAAGTGGAATTCTTTTGTCTCGAAGAATGCCATGTACCATTCTTGTAAATTGTCTATGTGCAACAACTCGAAAAAACCTGAAAAGGCATAATACAAAAGGTTCATTAAGAGGTAGGAGTCCATAAAATACAAATTTTGCAAGTGTGGATTCATAGATAACCCAGACAGAAACATTTAACTATTAATTCTAACAAACCTTTGCTCCAAGAATCCTTTATGATATCTAACTCCATCTCGTCTTTGGTAAAGATTGGCAGCTAAATTTAAAGCCCATCGATTAAGGCAAATGGCATCAAATCCTGGATGTCTGTTATGCATTTTGCTGCCTTCCCACTCGGATACCACCATATGATTTGCATTTCAATCATGCATTGGTACTGTGGCAACATCTACATTCTTTGATTAACCAAGAGAGGAACACGGCAGTTACCACACTGCACCTACGAAAGTTATCTGTCAAAAGCTTCGGAAACAATAAATAAAACAAATTTTCCAACTTTTCTTACCAAGAATCAAGAGGAACTTCATTTTGCATTCTGCGTTCGATCTTCTGTTTGGCGTCTTTCTTCTTCTGTGTGTTTTAGTGTTATTTATTTATTTGTATGAGCTGTTAAATATTATCTGGTTTTAAGAAAAGGACAGAATAAGAATCGCAAGGAAATGACAACGATTGACGCTATTTTAAGCGATAAAATTCAAAACAAACAGAAAACCGTAAAGACGTAAATGTGCTCAATGTGTTCCTTTGTTTTCCTTATTTTATTCGTCGTACTTCCATAAGCAACGCAGGTGTAAGGCATAACCTACATTTTTCATAACCTTACATTTTCTTCAAAATAAAACCTTTTTGAGAAATCCTTATGAAAACTTTTGCGCAGAGTCGCTGACGCCACGCATAAGAGAGGATTTGTTTGTTTTTCTTTAACAATATTTACGTCAATTTTTAAATGCATTTTTCTCAATATCAGAGAGTTAAATCTTTTCGAAACTTTCCAAACTGACGAATTTTATATTGTTTTAACTATTTCTTGATGTTTGACATCTTGAATTTACGCAGAACTTTCAATAACACAGAAAAAGCAGCACAATTGCACAAAATGCACGGTTTTTCAGAAAGTCAATGCGTATTGCCATGGTTTTCCACATATTTTTGAAACTTCTGCCTAGTGTACTATGGAAACATTAAATTTGTATATTATAATTCTGATTTCAATTACTGCTTCTAAATTTTTACGGTAAAGTAACGTATTATATTTTTGTTTTTCACATAATGTTTTGGCTATATTAGAAATAGAAGCATCAGAGCGGCAAACGACATTCGTTAGTATAGTACTGTAACATATTTCAATATGCAATTTCATACAACTTGTTTGACTGTTTATAAACAGTTTGGTGCAACTGTCTCTCTTAAAAGATGAAGTAAATCTTGTAAAAGCCCAAAAAGAATTGAAAAAGTTTGCTTCTCCTACATTAAAATCAACTGGAAATATATCATGATAGCTATATAGGTATGTAGTTTTTTCAGTTATTTTGGTAGGATTAATTCTTAGTCAGGGGCGGATCTAGGATTTTTCAAACATCAGTCATAAAACGTCGGAGGCGCTCCGCACCTGGGGGGGTCTGAGGCATTCTCCCCTGAGAAATTTTGAATTTCAGAACCTCTAAAATGCCATTTCAGCGTTTTAGAGCAATACAAAATGTATTTTGTGGCATCGTTTTTCGTAAAAACAACACATTTTGCTTACGTTTTTTCAAAAAATGAAGTGAACAATACTTGAATGTTTTGCCAAATATTTAGGCTCATTATCATGCCAAATATATGGCTCATTAGCATGTCTAGGAACGTAAAATTTATTTTACAATAATGCTATTCAAAAACAGATATAGTCTTTAAAAATTTCTACCAAGTTGTCAGGCATAGACCCCTAGAGACCCCCATTCAAACCTCTATGTAATAAGTTAAGTTAGAAATTTGGTACTACAAGTGACAGTTCATAGATATAGAAAAGCTCAGACTTCAAACCATGCAAGTTTATTGTAACCCTTTACCCATCTCCACATCAGTGCCAGCAAATTCACTTTTTGAGAAAAAACTCAAAATTTTTTTCTGTCAAAGATTAAGAAAATTATCAAAGTGAAAAATTGCAGTTAAGGACAGCTTAATGCCATAAATGTTTATTAGGCATTTCACTAGACTATTATCTTCTGTAAGTATATGCAAGGTGTGCTATATAGCAATCACTAGTAGCATTGTATTTGCAAATACAAACAGAATGTAACCAACATGTCTTTAATTATATAATTACATGAATGTTAAAATTGGTTCATGTTTCATTCTTACTGGTTATGATAAATATCTTTTCATATGATCAAAGCTTGTTTAAATGTAAATCTGAAATAAGTTAGTTTAGAAATTATAATGATCATCAGAAAAATTACCTAGTGATCATGAAAAATACTTTGCTGCTTTGCCAAATTTCAAGGTTTATCGGCATGCATAGGAACACATTTTTACTTTATGAAAATGCTTTTCATACATCAATAGCCCTTTGGAATTTATGGCAAACAATCTGGTATGAGCCGTAGATTAACACACCTTGACATCTCACATGAGGTGTTCAGTTAGAAAAGGGGACAATATGTGACATGCCACAACATTTCATGTATGTGAAATACTCAGGTTTAATACCATTCCAGTCAAATTGTCAAAATAAAAAGCTTCATGGATCATAAGACTCAAAATCACAGGTTGTAGTAAACAGCTTCTCATGTAATCAATGTTAGTTTTCTCAAATCTTAAACAATATGTAGTATAACTGTCCAATGATTGAATGATCAATGATCATAAACTGAAAAGCCCCAAACATTTGTTTATGATAAATAAATAATAGTATGGCACCTTATGGCTACAGATTTTTTGTCCATTGAAATATATTTGCAGAAATGTAGGATTTCGCTGCCATATACGGTCACGATTCCCCAAGCATTAAAGAAATCATAGCTAAAAGTCCTTCGGCAACAACAATTTTAGAAGCATCAATCTGCTTACCATACGCCATATCAACATAAATCGCATCACACACTCGCATTAATTGACTTTGATATATTGCATTCATGCATACACTTCACTTGTCCTTTACTTACGATTTTCGATGTAAATTTCTGCTGATAAAACTCAAAACAATGTTGGCTTGCTTTTGAACATCAATGACTGAAATGTCGCTCGCGAGATCGTCTTTGCCAAGCATTTACAATTCATCCATAAATTTTTCACCCTCTTGAAAAAGTTCCCAGTTTCAAAAGCAGCATTCATGTCAACATATGAATTTGTAAAAGATTTCCATAAATTCCATCTGATTGTAGTTTAGTTTCTATCATGCTTCAGAAAATTACTATGAACGATCAAACATTCAATTCAGACAGTGAGCTTGACTATGTTAGTTCAGTTGGCTATCAGTCGAAATCGGTCAAACCAATCACAGTAAGACAAAAATTCAAATGAACCAATTGTAAGATAGCAATTGGACTCCCTTATAGGTCCGGCCACCCCTATTATCGGTCGAGATTATTCCAGACTGTCCTCTGATCTGGCCATTGACCAATAAAATAGCGTTTCTGGCGTTCATAGACTACTTTATAAGTCGAACCAGTCAAGCCACCCCGCTTATCAGTCGGTTATTCCCATTGAGTTCTATAATAACTGGAGCGGCTATCTCAAGCGCGGCCTTAGATATCTGATGACGCCAAAAAAATGGCGGATTTCGTCCGTTGCCGCTGAGATTTACCGAAATTGACCGCTTTTCCGAAAATTTCACAATTTCCCACTCCCTCCTGAGGAAAGAGTGAGGAAAATGTATGTGTGTATTTGGGATTTGGCAAGCAATTTTTTGATGAAAATCACGATAAAAACCTACAATTCCTAACAGCGAGTCAACCTAGCTTTCCAGTTATCGGCTCCTACGAGGATGTATTTATAACTATCGACGAAAGAGCTATATGTCGGCTATACATCTATGAATGCAGATATGCGTCGTTTTCTTACCAGCGTCAAACTTGTTTGATCGATTAAACTCTTTAGTCTATACAAAAAAGTATATCATAGTTCATCTCCACAGTGGTTCACGGGAGAGAATTTAGCTTATTTGTTATCATTGCTATTTTGCTTCTTTTCGTGGAAAGGCAATGGCTTTTTTCGCCACAATTGTAGGATTTTTACTTGTTTCTTTAAAAAAGTAAATATTAAATCTCTGGATATTTACGGATTTTCTGTAATTGAGTTTCATATTAAATTTCAAAAAGACTCAAGTCTGCATAGGTTTGGTAAATGAAAACAAACAATATTGTATAGAAATTACTTTAAGTAACCTTTTTGTGATGTTCTGAAGTTCAACTGCATCAAATACTTTTAAAGTTGTAGCACATTTGATTTTGTTGTATTGATATATAAATTGGGCAAAATGCAAATAATCATCAAAACACTTATGCTTCCAATGGTGTTTATAATTCATTTTTAGTTTTAATACTTCTACCCTTCTTTTTCACTTTGTTTTGTTTTTCCTATATTTTCAATATAAGTGCACAATTTGAATGATTAACACAGTTTTCACTTCAATAATAAATTTCATAAGCAGCTGGTAGTGCATTTTGTTCTCTGAGTATCCACATTTGGTGTTTTCTTCATACATGAATGATGAAATGCATATGGATATGTCATAGCAAGGCAATAAAACCAAATGAATTAAATACCTATAGTGTACTTTTATGCTAGAAGCTTAAAAGCTTTCTAGAAATTATAAAGTTATTGGATTATATTACCTCTATATCATCAATCTCATGAAAAGAAATAAGAAGCAAAATATTTGTAGAAAAGCTTTGAAAAGTGAAAACATTTATTTAAAAAGCAGCAATGATGCATATGATAAATCCATTCTGTACTCTAATAGGTAAATAAGCTCAAACTGTTTCTTAAAGAAATATAAGAAATATATAAGAAATATACAGTACTGTAAGTTTAAAGGTTTCATCACTGAATCTTTAATGCTTCAGTATAGTGCATTAGATATTAGTAACATTTAAACAACACTCAACTAAAATATTTTGATAAAGATATGACATGATTTAAACATTAAGTTATATATAACCCAATGGCTTATACAGTTTGATGCTTCACATCTGCATCGAGTCATCATCAATCTAAGTACAAATGTTTACATAGACACAAACTTTATGGCCTTTCCATTTTATATGTTGTGAATTGACATTTAATTAAGCATCAAAAACACACAACCTTCTTGCCATCTTTTTTTAGTTCATGAACTTTAACTTCAAAGCATTCAAGGCATCATTAGTGAATCCATTGTCTCCATCCATAGAATTTGACCATGATCAAATTAAATAACTCTGGATAAGGCAGACAATAAATCAATTATCTTTACAGCATTATCATTTTTAAGACTCTGCCTGGTCAATAACATCTTCCAGTCATCTTTACTCCTTGGTCTTCCCTGCATGTTGTCAGCAAATAGAACATAACAAGCTCTGCTCCAAATCATGGGTACTGTTGGGGCTGATCATTTCTTTTTGATACTTTTCACAGAGCAAAATGTGTGCAGGGTCTTTTTGCTTTAGGAAACTATTTTGCAAATAAATGGGTAAATTTACGATTTCATGCATTAACAAATGACAGAAAAGTATGCAGAATTTTATAAACAAAAACAGGAAAACATCAGTATATTTGGCGTTCAAGTAAGTCTTAAAAATACGATCTTTAATATGTATTTTATGGCTTTTCAAGTGCATGTATAATTGCTTTTCAATCGTTGACGGACTAACAAAACAAACAACTACCTCACCTGTGAGAAGCGATATGTTCCTTTTTGTGGAAACTACGACATCCAACAATTGAACGATTGAAGTGTTGGCATTATAAAAGAAATGCCAAAAGAATCGTCACAGAATATGGAACTAACGATATCCATATTCTGTGATATCGTGTTTGTTTTTGAAAAATTCTTTATAATTTACTATAGACACCAGGGGGAGGTCGAGAATATTATTTCTCTGCAAAGCGATCATTTCAGCGGAAATACGTCCGTTGGCCGCCATTTTATTGGCGACCTCGCCCCAGTAAAGATAGCCGCTCCAGTTATTATAGAACTCAATGGGTTATTCCAGGTCAATTAAAATTCAACTGATCTGGTTACCAAGGAGATATTCGTTGCATTAGTCATTAGTTTTCAATAATAAATAAAGCTGGATTTTTATCACGAAGTAAATGCGATAATAAAGTAAGAATAATTAATGAATTTTATTTAATATGAATAGGTAATTTTTGAATTTCAAACATCAGTCGCGCGACGGATTTGACATACTCTAGATCCGCCCCTGTTCTTAGTATCTTATTTAAGTTAAAACGAAATAATATTCTGATAAATTTACTGAGAACATAAAAAGAAAATATTTTGAACTAGGAGAGCAAATGAACAAAATTCAAAATACTATGATCATAGTATTTGAATAAATGAATCAAGTTCTACAAAAAATTAATCTGAACTCTGATTCTTTTTCATTACGGACTACAACTGAAAAATAATTAATTATTTAAGAAAAAGAGATGTTTCCTTTATTAGGAGAACCCGAAAGAAGATCATTGCAGGCCCGGGACCGAAGGTAGAGTGTTGCATCTGCTCCAGAGTTCTCACAAACGTCTCAGAGGTTTGCATAAACCATTGAAAACACGAAAAATACCTTTTATTTCTTTGCTTAAATAGAAATAATGCAAAACAAACAAATTTAAAACAAACGTTCACTATTTCCTATAAATATGTATTCATTTTGCAAATTCTCTTTTATTGATCGATTGATTTTGTTGAACTCAAAGCGGTTTGCACAGACGAAACAGGATACTACATGGGTTTTAATTAATCTTTAATTAGTCTTGTTTTCATGCTTTCAATATTTTTCAGACAACGTAAAAACTGGTTTTATAGCACAATCATATAGTTAAAAAGTATCTATGCATATTGGCTGATGTTTAATACAAAAAGTTTTATGATACAGAATAATTTGATGATACTAAATGAAACACAATCCGAAAGTCAATGTCTTGTAAACTCCATATGATATGGACTGCATCAAGACAAGAAAATGGATTGTATAGAATACTGGAATTTGAGTAGGTTGCAACATCATTTTTAGACTGATATAACAGCAAGTTGGATTAATTAAACATGAACGTTTGACGAAGCTAAATTGGAATTTTTTCAACAGCAATTTTCACTACAATGTTCATGTTCGTCCATTTGACCTTAAGTCATGACGTATGTCAGTTTTATTTAATTTGCCTGATGTTTAATCACTGAACGCAGAAGATCAATAATTGGTGGGGTGAATATTCTTATATGTATGAATGTTCCACTTAACTATAGTTTCCATTGAAATATATGGTGATTACGGATTATGCAGGATGAACATAAGAATATGAGCCCCTAGCCCCTCAATTATCAATCTATCGCGATTCTTTTGATAAAATTGTGAAATAGGCTTCGTCTACTTTTTCGGTCTTGTGAGTGTGTTTCGTAATATATATTTGTTTTGCAAATTTTTGGCTAAACTCTGGACTTGATTACAAAGATTAACGCTGACTTTTCAACCACATCTATTAGTCGAAGTGGTTTTCTTTATCAACTATGTGGAGCTATACAAGTTGTATGGAAAAAGCTTATAGTTGCAAAAACGCTGCTAAATTTATTAGCGTGCAAGATTCGCATAATGGTTTGTTGAAAATAGGCAATTGGATTCCCCCTCGTTCTTTTAATGGTTAATTTGTCGTGAATAATAACCGTTTTTTAGAGTGAGAACTATGCTACAGAGAGGAATTTTTAAAAAAGCTTGTCAAAAAAAATGATGCAATAGGAATGATTGTGGCACGCGTTTCAAGCTTATGAAATTTCAGGAAATTTGGCAAATGCAGCTTCCAAATCGCAGTTAATTTTTTGAATATTCTCACTTTAAAAATGGTTATTATTGAATTTTAAATAGCATCATTATTGAATATTATTGAATTAAATATTAACGAGATTGAATTTACTAAAACTAATACATGAGTGCAAAATATAAATGCAAAGTTCCACGCAAGATTTATGTCACGATCTGCTTTCATTTAAAGCCAGATCCTCACTGGCGATTATGTCGCAAATAAAGACCAGACTTTTTAGAGTTAAATGTTTCATAATAATACATCACATACACACCACATTCTATCAGTAATACAACATACTGATTATTGAAATACTTGGACACGAATCAAAGACAGTCATTTTTAGGTACTGTCGGTCTTGTAGCGTTTCGGCCTGAGCAAACTCAACATAACCATAACCCTTGTGATTGCGAGGCGTTGTTGGTCGCTGAAATGCTAGTAGGTTTGGTCTTGTGACTAATGTCTCACTTATGTGACGTTTATAATCACCGTCATCGCTTTGGTCGAGAATGGATAAAGAAATTCGTCCTGAGAAAGGCCATTCAAGCGTATCATCCCACTCAGTTTGCATCATGTGAACAAACAAAGACACGTGAGAACCATAGCCAGTATCTACTCCATTTGGGTTGATTCTTAAACGTCAATAACATGTTTTAGTATGTTGTCAACAACTATAGAGCATGAAGTTTGATTGGTGGTCTAAATCAAAACAGTAGCATGATCAAGAGACCGGTTAGCCGGAATTCGGCTAAGCGTTGAATGACTTGTCAAATTGATCAAATATTTATCATCTAATAAATCTATTTGAGCAATTTCTCACAATAATCAGACTTAATAAATTTAAAAAACATAGTTACAAAACAACAAAAGATAACTGTTCCAATTAATAACAAAAATTATCTCATAGCGCTTAATGAAAGGTTGTAATTTTTATTCTTGAAGTTTCTATTCGTTTCAATGCCTCAAAATCATTTCACGATTCACTGTATCTCGGTTAACCTGGATCATATCAACAGCTCTTGTTTAAAAATGGCCAAAACCAATATGACATAGATCATGCCCAACAAAACAGAAAGGTAGCAGTGCAACTGTGCAAGACAGTGACATGGCTTTGTGACTTAATTCACAAATAATAGTGTAACAAACATATTTTAATGTTTCTGACTTTGATACAGCGAAACGTATACATTTTGATACAAAGAAAAAGTTAAAGCTAAAGTAGACCTTTATTTTTGACAAAGTGAAATAATAAATACGAAGTTCCCATAAAATCACTCATGCCATCAAACTGAAATGTGAGTTTTTTTTTGTATAAAAAATAGGTGTGGTCAGTGGATACTTGTTATTATTATTCACTATGTAAGCAATTTCGCTTTTGATTGGTCAACTCACATTTCAGTTTGATGGCATGAACAATTTTATGGGAACTTCGTATTTATTATTTCACTTGGTCAAAAATAAAGGTCTACTTTAGCTTTAACTTTTTCTTTAAAAAAGCGGCGAAGCTGACTTTGAACAGATTTACAACGTGTTTAAACAAGACGAACTTAAATAACCTGTCTGACAAAAAACAATTTAGCGAAGGTTTGAAAAATGTTTTGTATTGATATGTTTTAATATTTCAGTTAGTTAAAGTGAAAAATAAACAATTATTGAACTCAGCTTTCGCATGATCACAGAATAGAAAGGTAACAAAGGCTCACTCGCGTCGGAACCTTTGATATTCGTGTCCCCCTCTTTTCTGAATCAAAATTCTGAGCGGCCACGCCTTCCAGCAAGATACTTCAGTAAGAACGTAATAGAAATTATACAAGAATTTTACAAATATATCAATTTTGTGGAGAATAACAATTTATTACAGATATGAATGACAGCATTTTAAGTAACCAGCCAGGGACCAAATTCACAATTATTGTAAAGACATTAAGAATAACTTTTGTTCACAAGGTCCTGACTCCTGACAATGCAATCTAGTTACATATTCTGAAACAATGCAAGATTTATAAAAAACAAGCTGCAGTTAACGTTTCTTATTGTTTGACAAAATATATTTATCATGTTCCCAAAAAGTCATAAGTTATCTTGTATGGTGTTTTGGAAATAATTTCAAATCTGACCTTGTTAGCTTGCGGTTAAAACAGTTTATTTCTGAACAGTGTGTTGTTGTCACTCCTTTAATCTTTAATTATTTTTGTCATTTGTACCTTTTAAGATGGTTACACTCAAAACATATGTTGGCTTTCAAATTTGGTTTTACTTAACAATCTTTCTGCCTAATTCTCAATGACAACAAGCACTTTTTACTAAAAAATATTTGCAACTTGCATTCAGCAATTAGTGTCAAGGACATGGATCAACATTGTTTTGTGGTTGATGAAATGGGATTTTGGATTTTCATTGCCTTTTACATAAAACTTAATCACTCAAGAGTAATGAAAAATATCGATATTTATTTGAACAATATCAAAATAACTTCTATTAATTACACATTTGTCATAACATCAACTGAATTGTAAACAGCATTTTCAAGTTGTCTTTTGCAAATGAAATTGCAGATATCTAGCACCATGCTTTATTCCTAATCCAAGATTTAAGAAATAAAATCCAGTGGAAATATTATTTAGCTATTTATTTTGTACGAAAAAAGATTTTTACCCATCTCCTTCCCAAGATGAACACTCCTTGTTAAAATTTCGGCAAACGTTTGGTTTGAACGTGAATTATTAGCAAAAACAACATTCTCTTGCAACACAACTCCATATTTATTTTGTGAAAGTATCTTGCTCGAGTTAGGCAGAAGTAGCGCATGCGCATTGGAAAAATGCACCACAATTTTGGCTGAGTGGGATAACAGATTACGTTATCTATTCTGTGGCATGATTTCAAGAACTATTCAGACGGTTAGTTCTTGATATCATGCTCAACCTCATCCAATAATAGACCGTATGAGTAATGACGTCAAAAGTGCGATGCTCGCAGAGCATTGTGATCTTGGTAGTCACGCGAAAGCACAGTATAGAAACAAACAGTAGTCTCACTCAGTTGTGCAACTTGGTGCTGTATATTACTGGCTGTGGATAGCCACCTCAGCGCTTCTGTTGGCCAAAAAAAAGCAATTGACTGGCTGCCACTATGCTGAACACATGCCTATAATAAGATATGCGCTACACAAAAAATTTCAATAGTGTGGGACTACTGTTTGTTTTTATACTGTGGCGAAAGTAAATATTACAATATGGTTATACTATTTACAGTAAGTCTGTGTCTGTTTATCGTTTTGTTTCACATACTTTTAATCTGAATAAAGAAACTAAATCTATTATATACTCTTGCACGGGTTATCAGAGATTCGGCTGTCATAAAAAAAGGCAAAAGTCCAGTTTCTGTGCCAATTTCGGCCGAGCAAAGTGGTGAGTACGGTGATTTGACTTGCTGCATTCCTAAACCAACAAACTTCACCCTCAACGCGATTTTTATTATTTTCCAAAATTTAAAGACATAAAATACACAGATCTAAGAAAGGTAGGTGTATATTTCATATCGTAGAAGTATTTTTTTTCAAACGCCTGGGCGTATAGTAGGGTGTCATTTTTTTCCTTGGGAAAAATTCTTCTACGAAACCATAATTACCTATTCCATACATCGATCTGTGCATTATACACGTTTCATGGTCAGAAAATAAAGAAAAAGCTCGGGATGGATTTTGCTCTCGTAGGAACGCAGCAAGTGAAACCATCGTAATCTTCACTTTGTTTGGCCGTAATCGGCATTGAAACTGGTCTTTTGCTGTTTTTTATAACAGCCGAATTCCTGAAGATCTGTGCAACAATTTATAAGAGAATTAAGGTGTTTGTTTGAATTAAAAGCATCTAATACACGTCGTGAAACAGCGGTAGACTAGCTGTCAAGCCATATTGTAATATTTTCGCTCGCGTGCATGACTAGTAAGACCACAATGCACAACGCGCTTCGGCTATTCGACGTCATTACGCATAAGGTCTATTATAATATTCTGCGCAGTAGAATTAATTACGCAGTAATGGACATGGAAACTTTTTTATAAAGAGTATATGAGATTTTGCTCGTGTAAGGTGTCATCTAAAAGTTAGTCGGGGAAAAATTAGCTATTAAAGACGAACGCAAAATTAGAAAAAATTAGCATTATTATTGGATAATTCAATACAACATTAACTGGTTCAGCAAAACAAGACTTAAATTTATTGGTCTTTTCGGATAGCGCTAACACAAAAATCAGCGGAGATGTCCTTCTGCATATTAGTTATTGAGCTTTCATTACGGAAGATGAATATCATACATCTTTAAAACATTGATCAGGGTCATATCCTGCTCAATAATTGGGGGGAGGGAGTTATTTCCATATGCGGATGTTACAAGCAGAAAACAATAGATTTCAAATGATATTGATGTAGCAGGTCATGAATATTTGCACATTGGCCCAACAATTATAGAACTACTTTCCTGACTTCTATTTTTTCTTAGTTGAAACACGACTTTTCTACATTATTGAAAATCTCTTTTATGAATGCTTGGTTACAGGATCAACAACAAAAAATGAGCAAACCGATCTCGTACATTTCATCACATATCTACAAGATGTCCAAAAGAAAGAACACTCTATTGAAATGAGTATTTTTGTTGTGTAGACATTACGTCATTCACTCAATACACGCAGGTTTTTCAGTACACGGTCGTCAAACGAACGTAAATTGAGGGGGGATCTTATTCATTATGTTCTTCTATGACATGACGATTTCTTCAAAAACGGCAAATTTTTTGAAAAGAAATTAGCCAGGCATATAACAGAAGAATATATGAATATGGTCCCACAACTAACGTATGATTGTAGCGCTTGCAAATCATTCAATGACCTCGTGACAAAAATTCCTATTAAGTGAAAATTTATTGAACAAATTACATTGCGCAGGCATAACAGCACTTTCTTATTATGCCCAAAGTCTTTTTAAACAAAAATACAAAAGACTCGCTTAGATAGGTGCCAAACTTATAAAACGTCCACTTCTTAGTATACTGTCAACTATGAAAAAGTTTTGATGAACGTTCTAAATTAAAAGTAGGATTTAACGAAGCGTTAAAAGATTTTAGAAAAGTGAAAAGATTTAGTATTTATCATTCAAAAAATCTACTTGAGCAATACAGTTTGGACTGTAGAAACACATACAACGTTCAAGAAGATATTTACTAATTTAAACTATTGGATAATGAAAACAAAAATTAGACACCACACTCGGGATCGCAAAAATTATCAAGCCCCGCACATAGCAAGGGGAAAAATATTAAGCGTTGCACTTAGCAGCTTGTCCAGTCTTGATGAATCAGTACAACCATCTAAGTGACACAATATTCGTTGACACTAAACATCATGAAAACGGTTTATATCATATCGTTTTTTTTGAAACAAAAATATTTAAGATGAATATTAAGGTAAAATTACTTTTGAAGCGCATCTCCCGGTGAAGAGCCGCTCCAATTAGGACGGAGAAAATCCTATAAGCACCTCGGCACTAAAACAGGTAATTACAGTAACGCAACGTTTTTGGATCGATCTGCGTTCTACTCCTCAAAATTAGTTGAATCCCGCTCCATCCGAGCGACCTAATCACATATAATAAGCCCAGTGATATTAGAATGACTAAGGCACCAGGTTTAAAAAGTGGCTTTAAAATTGAAGCCAAAAGTCAGGTCATATAATTGCGTGTATTACTCACTTTACTATTCTTTTGTGTAATGACTCGGGAAAAAGAATAAAATATGTAAAAATATGATTTTGTTAAACAAAAGTACAATAAAGCGCGATCAATATACCTCTGACGTAAGCCGTATGGAAAGGAGCAAATACTGGGCTTCAATTTCGGTAACGATATTTTGTATCAAATTTAGTACACATATCAGTGAGTCATTATTTCAGTCAGTTCATTATAGGGTTTGTCAAATTTTCTAACTATTAAAACACAACGACGTCTATTCGTAAGACTAAATTTGCTCAAATTCCATTACACTCAGAAATAAAGTCAGGTCATTTTAGTGGTTAGAAAACGCAACAAATTCTAGTCAACTGGCTGGAATAAAGGCTGACGCTATAGGCACTTATATCAGTATTTGAAAAAGGATAGCAACGACTACAGTCAAAACAAAACGGATGTTACGTAGCTCGTTTCTACTGTTGTTGTACAGATATGAGTATTGAAGAAATTCCACCTATTAAAGAAAATCCTTCGTGTAAAGTAAACTCAAGTGTCTGGGAAAATTAGTAGAGGCCAAGAGCATTTTAAATTATAAACTCTAAAGCCCGAAGAAAATGGGAAAAGTTGCGTAAATTAATTTTTAAATATACCTCAAGCACAATTTGTATCCATAGAAGCTGGTGTAAAAAGGAGGACTGTGTAAAGCTGTCACAACGTTTTCTCTTGCATTTTCCCGATGGCGAGGGTAGTTCGTGATCCTCCAAAGATAGACGCCATTACACATCCGTGCTTCCAAATCAACTATCGTGTTCTTAACACTAGTCAAACCTGCTTCATTTTCTCTATGCTGTCTGTCAACACGTGCTTGAAGTAAAATGGTATATTAATAAGAAAAAATCGAATAAATATAATGAAGAATGGTGACTAATTCTCATGCAGGACATCGTTATTGTGAAAAGATACGCGACTGAAAAATATTGTTGCTTATTTTGAAAAATAAGAACAGAAAAACCTATCAAACTAATATACTCTTATATGTTTTTTAAATCAACGATTAATGAAGGTTGGATATCAAGCATATTTTTATACACACAAACAATATGTAGGATGGACGGAGAATTAAAAACATTCAAACACGGCTTTTTTAGAATTAGCTTTCAAAACATGAATTTTCCACGTTCCCTCTTTTGTTGTACCTCTGGGAACCACTAAACAGTAAGGAAAATGTCGCAAAACTCATAAGCACGTAAGATTTGCAAAAACCTTTGGTGTAAGTAGGTTGTTAGGATATTCATCCTGCTATGTAAATTTTAGATCATTAACATTTTTCATTTCTTTAGAAATCTATTGTTTTTATAGTGAGTGAACACAGAAAAATTTACAAGCCAGGACCAAATTTGCGGGCTGTCTACGCCACTGCTTTTAGCAGTGTTCGTATTTTTGTTCAGAAACGTCTTGCAAACGATGAATTGTTGACTCGTTCGCCAAAGAAAATCTACTTAACACTTACGCCAGCCATCGTAATTGTTTGTATACAATAATGTAACTTTTCCGCCTTTGAAATGTTTTATTTTGATTGGCTCTTATAAAGAGAATTTGAAAATCGGTTATGAATAAATTATAGAGGAAAAATTAAATGTTTGTCTTTTTTCGCATTATTGTTATTTTATAAAAGAAAGAAAAGATGTTTTCGTGTTTGCACTGGTTTATGCAAACCTCGTTTGTGAAAACTCTCGACCTTCGGTCTCGGGCTGCACTGATCTGCTCTCAAGTTCTCCCAAAGGTCTTTTCAGTTTGCATAAGACTGTGCAAACACAGTAAACATCATTTATTTCTTAAAAGAAAAACACAAAATAATATGCAATTTGGATGCCTAGCGTTCGCGTACGGTTTGGTTTCAGACACCTTTTCACCTTGAACAATATGTGCCATATTTCAACCTTGTGTGGTTCAATTGCTTTTTATTTCAATAGATTTTGTGCGAAAGCTGTATCGAAAGTGCTTCTAAACAACGAAATTCTTATCCTAAAATTAGTATTTGTAACAAATCCACAATCGCAGTCCAACTACCTCATTCCTCTAAAAGTTTTCACAAATCTTGTGCGCTGATGATTTTCCCGACATTTTCCAAACTGTTCACTTGTTTATACCCCTCGTAGAAAGAATTAACTTTATTAGAATGGGTTACCCTTCAAGCAACAAACCTAAATCTTTCTAGAAAGTTACCTATTTTACGCAGAGAAATGGTGGCTTGGTAGACTGCGGCATAAAAAAAGCTTCATAAGATGCAGCGCTTATTTGATGGTGACGTAGAACAATTATTATAGCTATAAGACGAGACTTTATGTAAGTCACTTTCATCTTGTTCTACACGTACAGTTAACTTAAGCCCCGTTTACACGACAACTGTTTTGGGCACGGCACGACTAAATTTTGGCACGCGGGCCACAAATACTGGCACGGCACTCTTAAATTTTGACGTGTAAACGGCTACGTAGACGGCCCGCGTGCCAAAACATTTTGGCGGGCCGAGACCTTCTCCAGAGGTAGTCTCGGCACGCCAAAAACATGGCACGCGGGCCCAAATTTTTTACGCACGCGCATTATGAAGAAAGATGGCGGCTAAAACAAGAGGAAAGCAATGGTCGGACGAAGCAACACATTGTTTAATATCATTGTGGGCAGAGGAAACTATTCAAGTATCATTGGATGCATGCGAAAGTGCGCGGGCAACGTCTAATGTGTATAAAATATTGCTGGTGAGTCATTAAAATAGCTGTTCATTTATAATGTTTTTAATAAATATTAAAATATAAAGTGTGTGAATATGGAGACAAATACATAAATGCACAAACCATGCTGCAGTCTTAATGAAATATTAACATAGCATTTTCTGCCAGACGTTTTGAAACTGGATATACATGCATTCAGCTTATTAATTGGATATCACGATTCAATTCATTCAGCTTTATCATTAAATTTATATATGCCAAAGGATGCAATGATCGAATGAATTTTCAATCTTGCAGAAGTTATAATTGCCTATCCACTGCCTTCACTTGAACTAAAGTTTGAACGCAGTTGTTATTATTTATATGCCAATAATATAAAGCAATATATTATTCTGTGTTGTTTTACAGTCTCAGTTGGAAGAAAATGGATATAAAGGGTTTACCTTAAAGGAATTGATAAATAAAATAAAGAAATTACGCCAGAGATATAGGAAAAAAAGAAAAAGCAATGTAGAGAAAAGCTTAGAGGTTATATTTGCAAAATTTGAACAGTCGTCAGCAGCTGAATTTGAAAGGTATTGAGCAAATCATGTACGAGTCTCAATATGAAACGCATATGTGCTGAGTAGGGATTTATTTACAGATTAATGCAAGGAATGAGGTACTGTATATTTCGATCGTGCATGAATATGTGTGTTGACATGTTGGCACCTCTGTGACTTTAGTTGACAAATGCAAAATTGTTAGAAAATGGTCTTGCTAAATTTAATATTTTAGGGAAAAAACCGAAAAATTACAAAATGATGATCGCATATGAAATTTTCTCACGCATTTAAATATTACGACATTTTTGTTACTGTCATTGTAAATTGTCTTTAGGTATCAGAAGTTTGAACAGGATCGCATTGATAGAGAAAATGAATTTCGATTAAAACAAATTCAGCTTGAAAATGAGAGAAGAAGAGAGGAACGAGCACATGAGCTAAATATGATGCATATGATGTTATAATCACCAGCTAAACAGCCTTCTGCTCCGATAAATGGTTACAAACAACATAATTATCATATTGGGTACAGTGTTGATCAATTTGGTTCACAAGTATATCCACGTGACAGCAGCGTTCAAAGTGATTCAAACACAGAAAAAACCTTTTTGCAATTGTAATACTTTGTTATCATTTAAACTGCTGATATTTCTTCATTATATTCGTTTTCTTTACCAGCTTTTCACTGAACAGGAGTTAATGAAATATTTAAAACATGTCCACCTGTTCAGTGAAAAGCAGGTAAAGAAAACATGTTTTAAATATTTCAGTAACTGCTTTTTAACAGGTTATGTCAGTCGTTTAACGATAACAAAATGCAGGGTCTTTACAACTTACAAGTGTCTTTCAAATTTAATTTTATTTGTTATTTCAATATTAACCTCATTCAAATGATTTTGGTAACAACATTTTGTGGAATTGTTGAATTCATGTAACGTTAAATTTCAAACGAATATTAAAGAACTGTTTAAGAAAAATAGTTTGATAAAGCAGCACGAATATCGTGAGCATCTTCTGGTTCTATTTCATCAATTGGCACCACAACAAAAGCATCATCAACAATTTCTACCGAATCCCAGTCGGGCATGAATTCGTTCTTCTGAAGTTCACATATGTTATGTAAAATGCATGATGCATGAATAATATCGACTGAAGAAGCTACTTCCATATCTAGCCTTTTACTAAATCTTGCATAGCGTCCTTTCCATCTCCCAAATGTGTTTTCCACGGTCATTCTTGCACGACTAAGATGGTAGTTAAACTTCTTCTGTTCCTCAGTAGCCCCATTTTTAGGATACCCCTTTATCAACCACGACAAGAGAGGGTAAGCTGGGTCACCTAGGAGAAACGGTGCTATTTCCACTCCGCTAATTTCCTTCACAATGTCGGGAGGGAAAAGACGTTTCTTATTTCCATTTGAGAAAAGTGTAGAGTTAGAAAGAATTCGCGCATCATGGACGCTACCAGGCCATCCTATAACCACATCCAGGAACATGTAATTACAGTCAGCGACCGCTTGCATCACGATACTGTGAAAACCTCTACGATTCACGTACTCTATGTTGCTATTAGCTGGTGCTAATATTGGTATGTGCGTGCCATCTATTGCACCAGCACACATAGGAAAACCCCACTGCTCTTCGTAACCTTGCAAAACTTGAAAGAGGTCGTCTCCCTTAGGAAAAGTGATTGCTTTGGGAAAGTGCTTTATTATTGCACAGCTTACTTCTTTAATGCACTGACACACTAATGAACGCGAGACGCCAAAAAAGATTAGCAACAGTTCGATACTCTGCTGTACACGATAAATAATACAACGTTATGGCCAGGCGTCGTTTTTCAGAAACTGGATTACGCATGGGAGTAATTTTACGATCTATTTCTTGACGAACCCTGTTTAATATAAATTCAAACGTGCTTTTTGTCACGCGAAAATTTGCGTACCACAGTTCATCGTTGTAGAGTTCATCGACCATATCAAACCAAACTAGTGAACGTGGATGCATCCACAACAACCTTTCTCGTGGTTTATGCAAATAGGCCAGTACTGCTTTGATTAAGGCAAATCGACGCTTATTTCTCTTAAGACATGATACTCCTGAAGAAACGCAGCTTCTAAACCTCGTTTGAACGGTTTGCTGTTGTTTTCGGAAGTGCATATACCAAGCTAAAGCTATCTTTACCTTATCATTATGTAAGTTCGCCATGTTTGAAGTTTCGAATAATCCGCCAAATTTAATTTTTTTTGTCATCCGCCGACACTTATTTCTTGGGGCTCATACTTTATGCGGGCCGTTTTTATAAATCAGGCGTGCCTATTAAAAAAATGGCCCGCTTAAAAAACTGACGTGTAAACAAAGCGGACCTAATAAAAGACAGTGGCCCGCGTGCCAAAATTTAGTCGTGCCGTGCCCAAAACAGTTGTCGTGTAAACGGGGCTTTAAATGCAGGGATCATTCCCAATTTCGGTGAATAACCACAATAGCGTGTCGAGCTTTAAAGGTAATTAAAACGCAAGGTAAGATAAATTACATTAAACTTGCATTTCCAATCAATTAAGCTAATCTAATTTATTTTTCCAAAGCTGCACCCACTAATAAATTACCGGTAAGATCTCGAAAAGATGGTTCAATTTGTTCAGTTCTCAACATCAACGCGTTAATTTGATCGTTATTTCTTTTGACAAGGCGGTTGAACTCCTCTAAGTTTCTATCGACCGTATCTGCAGCATTGCTGCTGCTCGCGCCAGCACTCGTACTGGCTTCTGTTCTAGAGGCTGGTCGATTCCTTTCGCGGCCATTTGCAGACAATAAACTAGCCAAGGCAACATTCATCATAGATAAATGCTCCTTCATGTCACTGTTTAGATGGTGTTGCACTTGATGTCTTTGACCCTGTAGAGACAGTCAAGACACGTTTACATATGCTCAGATACTTTGGTCAATTTTTTAATGCGAGTCAAAATACTTTATATTAAACCTTGTGTTTACGAGAAAATATTTTTTCGTCTTTTCTTACTATAGATGCAAGGGCTAATAATATGTTTGCAAGTGATTGAGTCAGTGCTATAATTAAAGCAGAAAAAGTACCATGTATAGCATGACAACTATATATAAAAGATAAAAGTTTCTTCGGATTTAAAGTGAGTTTTATTGAGCTTTCGACTCGTTGCTTCGAGTCGCTCAATAAACTTTCTATCTTTATATATTAAATGCCTGGATTACAAATTTTCAAACTTATGACAACTATGTATGAAAGTGAAAATGGCGACTCGAAAGACAGGTCATTGTGGAACAATGAGGTTAAGGTAAAAATATGGCTTAATCGAAAACCGCCTTCTCAACAACATTTTTAACAGCTACGCAAAACTTGCTCGTTATTCCTTGAGTAAATATGGATGTTGCATATTATATCCTAAATTTCATCTTTGTCCATTCACATATGTAGTATGAAAAGCTTAGTAAACATAAAACGTATTCTTAATCCTCTTATGGGCAAATAAATTGCTCTTTAAGATGTCTACATAAAATGTAATGTTGCCACATAAATATTTCAAAACATCTTTTTCATAAATATATTTATTAGTGATTAAATGAATTTTCATGGGATGGTACTAAAGCGAGGCTCCATTGTTGTCCTGAAAATAAAATCATTGTCAATAAAAAACATGATCTAAACACCTTCTTCTGACCTCCACATTCTGGAGCAGAAATTAATCTTTAAGTACCACAATTTTTGTGAAATTTTGAGAAATAGACTAATTATTTTAAGCAAAACATTTCTTTTCCGGCAGCTACTTTCCTCAGTCGACACTTACCGACCACTTGCATCCAATATTTCGATATTCACAAAAAATGTTTGCTTTCGGACATTCCTTCTCGTGACCAGAATTCAACTATAATTTAACAAAGAATATAAACACATTGTAACACAAACTAAGTGAGCAAGACTTCCAGTTACAGGCAGGCGTTCTAGTAATTTTAATTTAATTATTTAATTTACGAGGTAAGACACAACCACATTCATCTCAGTTTGGACGCCAACATCCTATGCCACTTAAATGAATGAATGAATGAATGAATGAAATCTTTATTTAAAAAGGGTAGCTCTGTCAGGTGCTAAATGCACTTGTTATCAATAGAGGCCCTACGATATATCTTAGGGCCTCTATATCGGACTTATATCGGACATATGACATAGCAACTTTAATTTACATATTTCCATTTTGCCAGGCGTTCATCAAATGATTGCGCAGAATCACAATTCTAAAAAAGGTGCAACTTTTGCAAATTGTTATCTTGTGAGACAATTTAGACTTTGTAGAAGCTTTGCCTAGTTCAGTTTTAAGTGACAATGTCATTGACTAAATCCCTTTATACATTTTGCAATTGATTGCTATTCATATAATTCGAGTTTAACGCTTTACGATATCCTTATCTATACATAAGTCTCTAAATCATTTGAAGTGAATGATCAATAACAAAGAATACTTTTCTTTCAATTAGTTACTTTCTGCCATGCACGTCGCACTGACGTGTGTAGTATATATTATGTCATGTTCTACAATAAGTTGTCAATTGTTAATATATATACCACAACATACTTTTTCTCGAAGCATCTTTTTCTTACAATTTGGGCAAGTGACCTTTACTTTTTGGCAATTCCCAAGGTGATCCTGAAATAGCAAAACACAAAACTGGAGTGAAACTAATTTTTGGTTCATGAATTTACCTCGGAATATACTAACATAAGAGCGAGAAAATTTTGACTACTGAAAATTTGTAAAATCGGATGTTTGAAAATATGAGTACATTTTACGAAAGTTAAGCCTTATGGCAAATATAATAACTGCGAAAATAATAAGTGTCAGTAAAGCCCGTTTTCCACTCATAATTTCGCTCGTCGCTGGCGAATTAATTTCGTAGCAAATTAAATTCCCGCGCGAAAATTTCAATCTCCACTGCTTAGCGAAATTTCATTGTCAACTGCTTTAAAACAACATGGCGAGCATTTGGTTTTCGAATGCCACAGAAAGGGATTTTTATTTTGTTGCGGTAAGACAAAGACTTCGGAGGCATTTACGTCGCCATAAGTATAAAAACGTTTTTGGGTTAAAAACGTTTGCCAAACGTAAACAAAAAGACGAATTTCACCTCTTAGTCAAGGATCTGTTATTGGCAGATCACGAATATTTCTTTACCTACTTTAGGATGACTCCTCAAAAGTATGAGGAACTTTTAACATTAATTGCACCTCATATAACAAAATCATCTAAAAGACGGGAGGCCATTGAACCAAGTGAAAGACTTAGTGCCACATTGCGGTATTTAGCAACGGGTGATGCTCAACAAACTATTGCCATAAGTTATCGAATAAGCAGGGGCGGATCTAGGATTTTTCAAACATCAGTCATAAAACATCGGAGGCACCCCGCCGCCGGGGGGGTCTGAGGCATTCTCCCCTGAGAAATTTTGAATTTCAGAACCTCTAAAATGCCATTTTCAGCGTTTTAGAGCAATACAAGATGTATTTGTGGGCATCGTTTTTCGGTAAAACAACACATTTGCTTACGTTTTTAAAAAATGAAGTGAACAATACTTGAATGTTTTGCCAAATATTTAGGCTCATTATCATGCCAAATATATGGCTCATTAGCATGTCTAGGAACGTTAAATTTATTTTACAATAATGCTATTCAAAACAGATATAGTCTTTAAAAATTTCTACCAAGTTGTCAGGCATAGACCCTAGAGACCCCATTCAAACCTCTATGTAATAAGTTAAGTTAAATTTGGTACTACAAGTGACAGTTCATAAATATAGAAAAGCTCAGACTTCAAACCATGCAAGTTTACTGTAACCCTACCCATCTCCACATCAGTGCCAGCAAATTCACTTTTGAGAAAAACTCAAAATTTTTTTCTGTCAAAGATTAAGAAAATTATCAAAGTGAAAAATTGCAGTTAAGGACAGCTTAATGCCATGAATGTTTCTTAGGCATTTCAAGTCCACGATCACATCTCACTCTTGAAGGTAATTCATATGAACGACATGCATCTTGGAATAAGTCTAAAACTGTGTTTGCTTTGTTGTTAGTAGCACAGCTTAAATATGGTATCAACCTGGAGTAGCCATCAATGGATGTATGAACCACCATTCGCCAGCGAATCATTTTATGGTTCCCGTCGATGTGCCACAGAGCATTTACAAACATTGTAATTTCTTCTGCAAATTGCTCCCTGCCAACGAAGTGTTGTTCCAACTGGATCCAATTCGCATTAATGTCCTCACACGTGACCGTTGGACCCTTATATTTCGGCTCCTCAGTTGCACCTACCATATGTGTTTGTCCTATTCCTGAATAACCTCATAATCTCTTGCATTGTTTCTCTAAGTTCAATGTCACTTATGGTTGACCAAGATTCTTCTACATCAATTTGAAACTCTACACGTCTTCGTTGTAATGTTTTTGTTGAGATACCCAATAATTCAGCGATTCTAGTCCAAGAAAAGTGCAATTCCCTTAGACATTCTACTAATATCTTAGATAGGTCGACTTAAATAGAAGTTATCCTTCTATTTAATCCTTCTATTTAAGTCGACTTCAGAGGTTCTGAAAGAAACTCTGAAGTCGACTTAAATAGAAGGATAACTGGTGCATGTCATTATAAAAACTCGCCATATCAAAATCATCCATAAGATTTAATGCTCTCTGTTTTAACGTGAATACAGTGTCTCCAGCATCTGAAAGTCGCTCATGTATGCGCTCTAAACCGTCGATATTGTCAAAAATAGGTGAAATGATAAAATGCTTCTGCTTCAGCAATAATTGCTTTAGTTCTCTGAAAGAATGAATAAAGACTGTGTTCCGAGCCTCCAATGCCTCCTAAACCCGCCATTTTGAATTTGAGAAAAAAAGCGCGTAAACCTGTAAACGAAGTGAGATCGCAAAGCATTATGCAACACGATGTAAAAAGTTCGCCATACCCAACCCAGTCTCTTCCTTAAATTAACTCTATACGCTAATTGTGAAAATACCCTCAAATTGACTCTATAAGTCAATTTGAAACGTCCATTCAAAAAACAGGCCTGGTGACTTGCCTGCCTGGTCGCAACCACGCAACCCATCATTTACCGCAATCTACTATCCCGCGAAGTTTTGGATATCCTCAATCGCTTATTGTAAAGTGTATGCTCTTCTGATTGAATTTTTTTTTTAAATTCAATTTAAACTTTAATATTAAGTTGCGTGGTTCGCATTATTGCTGAAATGGAAGAAAACAATGGTAGTGGTAAGTAATTTTACACATTACACTTAAGTTATAAAATTACAAATACTGAAATACATAGGCCAATCCAGTGGCTAATTTATGTATTGAAGGCTATGTTAGCTTTTAGGAGACCTATACTTTGCTTGCTTTTGAAAAGATAAACAAGAGTGCTTATCCATTCTCTTTTGGTCATAAATGCATCTTAATGAGCAAACATCAACTCTAGTACACTATTTTACAGATAGAAATTACTATACAAAACTAACAATAGCATGCACATATGAGTGATATGATTTAGCTTAGTTAGCTACACCCGACTGACAGAAACAGTCCACAAGTTAAGGTAACCTTGAGCGAATATTGATTGTATAAAACAAATAAGCTTCAAGATTACAATGTTTTAAATACTAAGTAACTTAAGTTTGTCCAAAAGACTTATATTTTGAAAAAGAAAGTTATTTCAAGTTAACTTGAATAGCTGCCAGTATCATATTGCTGTGATCACCTGCAAAATACATGTCAATCTGATGTTGTACATATTTTTTCTTTGACAAGTTAAATTATAACAATTTACATATGTAAGTGTGTACAAGACTTTCCATCTGGCAAGTTAAACTGTAAACTGTTTACCATCAAAAAGAAGGGTATTTTCATGTTCAATGTAAAAATTATATAGTTGGACTAAAACCTTTGGCATTGTTACCTTGCTGTTCCTCAGTATGTTTTTCTCGATATCACATGCTCATTTATTTGTGAAGTTTGTTAATTAGTAATTACAATATTTTAATTTTTAAACATTATTTTTTATAGGTTTTGATGTACTAGAATTAGATGATACAGAATATGTTGATGTATCTTCCAAAAAATTTGTAGGTTCATCAAATATTTATTGCAAATGAAAGAGAAGTGTTATAGCATCCTAGAGTCATAATGATTGTGCCCAACAGTGATATAGCAATCTCAATAGTTTGGGGAGCTGGTATTCATTTGAGTGCTTGTTTTGCCATGCTAAGTTCTTAAAATAATTGTTTCTTCTGGATTAAAACATGCATTAATTTTTTACTTCATTGTTGGCCAAGGTTTCTTAGAGCTTACATATACAGAAACACAAAACAGCTCAGCAATATAAATAGCTTGTGCACCAACTTTCATTGATGCTTTCAACATGCCTAATTTTGCAGTGAGACTAAAAGTGGAATACCCAGCTTGTAAGTTGTGATCCTGCTCCATAAATTTTAGAGCATTATTATTTCATTTCTATTGAGATCTATTGTTTTAACTGTAAATGAGAACATAGGAGTCAACATATCTGGACTTAAGACGTGGGGTGAATACACCAGTGATTTTTATGTAAATTTGCTGTATGTATGCAGCATATCCACTGTGTAAAGAATAGATTTCAAAAGAAATGGATATTGATAAGGTTTGGAAATTTACATTGCAAGAGTAAAACTTGCAAGCTTGTTATGCTATGCTACCTCTGCTAACATTTGATTTGATGGTGATCAGTGCCATCCTCGACATTAATGAGGGGGGGTGCTAATTTATTCATACATTCACTTGTGCCCACTTGGTTTCTTTGAAAGCAATTCATTTATAAATTAAGCATTTTACTGTAAAAAACGTTCAGGCACAACTGAACTTATGAATAGTACACATTCCAACCAATTTGCATTGCCAAGACAACTCTGATGATTGCAATTTTGGAAAATATTCATCTGTGAGTCATTCAATTTGAAAATTAATCAGCATATTAATTTCACAAAACAACAAAGTAAAACAGTATATGGTAGTTTCCTTGATGTTTGAACAATTTCATGCACAATTGAATTTTTCATCTAAGGTGTGTATAAAAAAGGGGATTTGCAATTTGCAGTAGCATCAACATATATGTATGTATTATTGTATTGACTTCCAGGTTTTTGAGAATCAGCTGCTACTGAATCATACAAATTCTAAGTGTCAGCTGATTATAAATAAGCAGGTTTTTATACACCCTATATATACCCATTGCTTTCATTCAAATATGCATGAATCTAATTTTTTAAGTAAAGAACTGATATTTAAGAATTATGTTAAAACTAAAGGAAATTGAAATGATGACCTGTTGTTGTAGTTAAGAAATTAAAAGCAATTACTTTGTTCAACAACTCAACAAGAAAACATATAAATTAGTTAGTACAATGCAGGGAATACTGTTTATTAGGTAAGGCTCAACGACACACATATAATTAATGTTCTTGTGCTATTCTACCCCCTCATCATTATCATGTAGCAAAGGTTTATCATATATCAAACGTCTATGAAGCGTACACTGTGTATTAAAACTGTGTTTTGAATTGTTGCTTTTATTGTGTTTAAATTGTGTTTTCAATTGTATGCGTGTTGCTGAAACTGGGGATTAAAATACACAGTTTTCTTGCATAAAGGTTACGTAAATAATGTGATTAGTTTCATGTTTGAAGATGTAGATCGTCCAGGTCAGTAGAGTTATGAGAAGTACTGTTTTGTTGTTGTTGACTGACGTTTCGACAACCTGAGAGGTAGTCATCTTCAGTCCTTCTAAGGTTGACTCTGAAGATGACGACTGCTAAGGTTGTCGAAACGTAAGTCAACAACAACAAAACAGTCCTCAGGACTCTACTGACCTGACGATCTATCTCTAACATGTAAAGATATTCCGGTTCAAACCATTTACTTTATTACGATGATTAGTTTCCGTAGTAAAGGAATCACACAACTTGTTACTGCTTGTCTTGTATCTTCACGTCTGTAGTATTACTTTTGTATTATTCGTGTATAAATGCAATTATGCTTCCTATAAAATACATCCAATTGCCTGAAAGGTTTGTACAGTAATTTTCTGGAAAAATAATTTTACCAAATTGGTGGTGCACTTCTATGTTATAGAGGACTAAAATTTTTAGACAACCTCTCGAAAGAAAATATGTAGTAATTGCTCTACTGCGGTGGGCAATGCATGTAAGCGATGCTCAACTGTGGACAGCTCATTCCAAAGAGGCCTTCTTCCGTTCAATACCACAATATTCGACCACGACAAGACAGAAAATGCTGCTGATGAAAAGGGTTAGATATGTGTTCTTTAATGTATCTTAGGGTATTGGAGCAGATGTTAAAATATCAATGTATAATTTGATTGGTTTCGGAATTGGACTTTTTTTGTAGGCTCAGACTCTTCATCAGAACCACGGTTATCATGTGGTGGTAATGTATTATCACCCATCAACCACTGGAGGTCCAACCGTCTGGGATTATGCTGCAACTCCTGGCTTGGCGACAGATTTTATTAGCAGCAGTGGTGTAATTGGAAAATCAGCCAGAAACTTGTTTCAAACTGGGATGAAGAAGTTATGGCAAGATAGAAATGAAGATAGTCAATCTACAGATCTTTCATCTACGAATACTATCCCTGCCTCTACTATCCTCTGCCTCTACTATCCCTTCGTTTCGTTTCTGTTTCTCCTTCTTTTCAGCATCTTCATCTGTAACTCTTTGTAGCTCTGTTACAACCTCTCTTCCAGTTAGTAGCGCTGCTTCAACATTCAATCCTATATGCAAAGATCTTCATTTTAATACGATTTCCGCAACTTTCGAATCTTCCTTCCTCTCTGCTGCTACAAATACCAATACAAATGTCGTCACTGATTCTTTTAGCACTAATCCCACTCTAGCCTCTTCCAGTGGATGTACCTCGATCGGCAATTCTTCATCTGTTTCAACCTCTTCTTCCTCTTCTTCAAGCTCCTTCGTCGCTACAACATCTGTGTCTACCATATCTAAAACGACTGCCCCATCTGTCCCTACAGCAACTTTTAGCACAGGTCAGGAATAGTGTACATAGGTATTAGCATTAGAATGGTTGATTTTTTAGTTTCTTAGAAGTTTTTAGGTTGTCGCAAAACAAGTTCGATCTTTTGTTGATTAATTTTGTCATCAACATGGAACACATTTCACAACAATAAGCATGTCCAAACACACATGACTACTTTCAGCTTTAAAATGTTAAAACTTGATTTGGCTCTTTGGCAGCTACGTACATGCCGATGATGCGTAGCAATATTTCTTCTGTCATAAAGAGTGATCAACGAAGCAAATGGCTATGTCTTGAATTTAAATTGTTTCATGTACACTTAGGAACTGTTGTAGCATTGGCCAACGAGAATGGTGTAGTGTGGTTTTGGATGTGTCTCAGGAATGTCGAAGGTGCATAATCGGCCCGTGACTCCCGGCTACCTATCTGTCTTTTTACTAGTGTGGTACCGGGAAAACAGTTGCTCCACCATTTCCTGGTCCATTCGACGAAGATGTCGTAAGACCTGGCGAGTCTTACATTTGGCCAGTTGACAGAATGTTTGTTGCTGGACCAGATGATTTTACTCACAATATATAGCTACGTAAATCTTCTGCATTTTTTTTCTATGTGGATTTTATTATTTTCGTAAAGAAACTTCCTTGTATATGTATATTATAGTAAATTTTCTATTTTTGTGCCTGATCTTTGAGTGGAAATATTTTTGTTTAATATCATTGTATTATAAAAAGAACAGATTTTATATTATGCGCGTCATATCACGTAAGAAGTCCAAATAAAAAATTTCCGAGTCGTGAAATAAGACATTTATAACTACTTTGAACTTCACACTTTTTGTACTGCAGAGGATTCTCTTGTAAATTATTTCTTAAAGTTTTCACACGGTATATCAATGAATGGAAAATGGCGATTTTGATGGAATAAAAAGGTAGGGGGCAGCGTGCTAAAACGTTTATGCATGTTTTACAACAGTGGAATGAACATGAGCAAAAAGACTTTAGTTTCTCTTACTAAAATGTTTACAAAAACAAAGACATCGTGGAATTTTTATTCAATTCTTCATTTGTTCTTATTTGAGTTAAATATTTTTTAAGTTTACGTTTATGCGGATGCTTATGTCATGTTCTTTAGAAATCAGCCAATAGTGAAAGATTTAATGCCTGATGATATTGTGCAGATTTCACTGTTACACTTTACGTTAAATTTCCAAAACAATAACTTGAATGCTAGTTGCAACATAGATATATAGTTTATAACCAAATGAAATGAGATGCACTTTCTCACGTAAAAATTGACGTATGAAAAATATCTGTAGTCGCAGCCTAATGACAGAGCATGAGAAAATACAACAATAGATTAAATACTAAATATATGTTCTACTTCATAGATCATACACTCATTCTTTCATAATTGCATTAAAAATATTCCAAAATAAATAGATTAGAAAATAAAATTTGCGATATATCTTAGAACAATTAGAGCTCATTTATTATCTAAAATATTTATGTAATACACAACGCGATTTTATTCAAGTGTTGTTCACCTATTAATCCCAAAAATAAGATGATTTAAAAGTTTTTCTATGGAGATGCATAATAAATTCAGAAAAAAGCGTCAACTGTTGCGTCAAAAAAAAACACTAAGACGCCAACAACCAACGAACTATATTCCAGGTGTATCAAAAAAGTAGACTCTTGGAAAAGTTTCTCTAAAATAAGACACGCATGTGTATTTTAACGTTCTCTGGTACAGCTGGTAATGATTTATTTGCAAATTGAATAAAGTACAATATGAGATTAAGAAGCCAATTCCTAAGGTAAGTGAAATGCGAAAAAGCAAAAAAAATTCAAGTGTTTTAAAGATCTTGCGTTGGCCTGCGCTTGCCCTCAAATTGCTTGCAATTAAGATAGCACAACCTCTTCCATATTTTGACTCGAGATAATTAAATTGTCTTTTCAATGAAAATTTTTCGTGAGCAAGGCCTGTTTTGAAGGACTTTTACCAGCAGATATTCACTGCTATAACATTTGCATTTTGAAACTTTCTTTTCCAGCTGTACCCCTACCGCGCGCCTCTCTTGTACGAAGAACTTTTACCATAATATACTTTTTGATACATTCTTACTATACACACGATATATAAGCAATACACGTTATATAAGCTATACACTATACACACTCATATTGTCTATATAGGCTATGCACACTATACACACTTGTATAGGCTATACACACTATTTACGCTTATATAGGCTATATACACTATATGGCTACATATAGGCTATATATACACTATATAGGCTATATACACTATATACACTGCATAAGCTTATGCACACCATTTGCAGGTATATATATACACACTTACATAGGCTATACACACTAATACAATAGGCTATACAATATTACATACACTATAGACTATATACACTATATAGCTATACACACTATATACATTATATACACTATATAGGCCATATACACTATAGCTATACACACTATTACACTATATAGGCTATATATTAATATATACACTATATATAGGCTATACAGACTATATGCACTATATACACTATATAGGCTATATGTTACCTATATATAGGCTATACACAATATTACACTATATACACTATATAGGCTATACATATATACACTATATAGGGCTATATACACTATATACACCATACAGGGCCATACACACTATATACACTATACACTATAATACACCATATAGGCATACAATATATACACACTATATACACTATATGGCATATACACCATATGGTATAGGCCACACTATACACCATACAGGCCATATAGAACTTTTGCATAAATACTATATACACATATACACTATACAGGCCTATACCACACCATATAGGTTAGCATACACCATACACATATAGCCATATACACCATATATGCCATACACACCACATACATATAGGCCATATACACATACACATTATACAGGCATAAATACACCATAATACTATATACACCATACAGGCCATACACACCATACAAATAATACAATAACTATATAGGCTTCATAATGCCTATATAGGCTAAGGGACGCCTATTAGCTAATTCATATACACTATATACATTCATATAGGCTATACACACTATATACATATACACCATATAGGCTATATACACTCATATGGACTATATAGGCTATATACACTATATACACTATATAGGCTGTATACACTATGTACACACAATGCACAGGCTGTAAACAGTAAGTGTTTTCGCCAACGTCACAACGACGTCACAACGACGTCACAAGTTTTACTGTCCGCTATTATAGGACAGAGTGTCACATAAAAGAAAAACAATGGAAACATAAAAGTTAGATCATAACGTATAGTAAGAATATTGTGTTTAATATACAGTTTATAACATACATCAAACGACTTTTTCTGCATACGGCATTCCCATATCATACCTTGACGTTCTATAAAGCAATTGGTGACGTATTACTTGTCATTCTTCGTAGAAAAACCGGTTAAGGCTGCTTTCACGGAGTTAAGTACCAATTGCACAATTTATTAACCAAATTTAAAACAGAAATGTCTACAATCTTGATGAAACATGTTTTCAATCACTTTTGTTAACAACTTATAACAGCTGCAAAAGGTGAATGGCTTCATTACATCCAGGGTGTCTGAGATATAGATTTGTACGTAGTAACCATTTTCTTGAGAAGTATGTACTGAATTGAACCAGTATACCAGCTAGTGGCTGGTAGCCATTCATAGCTTTTGGTTATGTTAGTGAGAATGAGCGACTGTTAAATCAATAAATCTATCACAGAGGAATCAGAAATCTAAATATCAAGGAAAAAAGACAATTTGTGTTGCGAAAAGGGCAATTTGTAGATCATAGATTGTTGCAAAATAAGCCGTTTGCACTGAACAACTACAAATGCGTTTCTTCTTAGATGTATATACTTGCAAGTGTATTTGCATACATTTTATTTACAAAAAGAGCAACATGCAAATAATTTTCTATTTATAAAAAGCACACAAAAATATGATAGCACAGCTTTCAGCAACAAAATACTACGAATTATATGCATCTTCTTCTTCAACATCTTCATAAACGTCATCTTCACGAACGTCATCTTCATCGCTACAGTCTGATTCACTGTCACTACCGTATACGTTGACTATGGACTGTTCTAAGTCGTGAAAGTATTGAAAACCTTTTTTCAACTGCACTCTGGCAAATGCAATTCCGCAGTTTGTGATGGCGAGACGACCATGCAGAGTCTTCATTGTGTCTTTTCGCACACAATAGCGATGTTTATATTCATCTAGAAGAAAGCTCTATAAAACAAACATAATAATGTCAATAAGTATGTTCGTATTTTAAAAGATTGGTGTCATTTTCACTACTTATCTGACCTCTGTTTCAAGGAAAGAATAGTCATCAGATTCATCAACATTATTTGTAAATACTAAAAAAATAATTGCAAAATATGTTAAACGCATGTACATTACATTCCACAGTATATAAATACGCAACCTTTAAGCTTGTTTTAACATAATACGAACATTTATCTGTATACCTATCCTATCTTTAATCTTCTTTTCTTTCACAAAGGAGAGGCAAAACGTTTTCCAAATAATAAATCATATAATTTTTCATCTCCATGTTCAGAAGTGCTTTTTCCTCTTCCAATCTTTTAACTAACATGTACTTATCGACAATTTGTGCCTTGAAACGCACAGGTATATCTAAATATTGTTAAGTAAAATAGTTGAAACTAAAAGCGAGCATGGACGTCACAATATACATAGAACTATATTTGCAATTCTTTTTACACACCATGTGAAGTCGTACTATCTATGTCACACTGGTTAAACGACCAAACAAAATCTCCAGATGACTTCTTCCGCACTTGTCGTAGGAAGACCCACAGACTTGAGAGGCAATTTAACTCTTCTACGGTGGATGTTATTTCGACTTCTCTTTAGCGCATTTTTCTCATGGAAGATCTTCGTTTGCTAGAATCTACAGTACGTACATGTATAATATACGTAACAACGACAAATCGCAATTTTACAGCAATTTGGCAAAATGCTTTGAAATAATTCGGCACAAAATAAGTGTAGGTGGCCCATAAATATAAGTCTACATATTTCTACGAGGATGGTGTAGATGGTATTTACCCGTTTACTTTTAGATAAAGCACAATTTATCTCGAATAAAACTGTTCCATATTTTGCATTTTGTGTCGCCTACATCTAAAATCTAACTCACTTAGATTTTGCAACAAACTTTAAAATAATGCTTACAGTTACTCATAAAAAACCCCAACAAAACTCACCAGCAAGAGAAGTTATTTCTTTGTGCGTCTAGTGACTGAAAATACAACATTTCTAATCTCTTCTGCAGCTTGCTACTGTGATTTTGCCAGCTGCGACTTTCCTTGCTCAAGAAGCTGCTCCTCTGTCACATGTCCATCTAAAAGCTGTCTTTCAATTCCAGCAATCTTGTTGCATTTCGTTCAAGTTGTTTCACTTTGTTTTGAGCGTCATGAACGAAACGCCTATCACCCAATAATGTCTGCGTTTGATCATCGTTGGCTCTTACAAAATTCTCCAAATGTTGAGCATTTTCAACAGTTTGATGCAAAAGGAAGAACTCTTCGGCGGCACCTTTCAACGAAGAAACTCCAATTTGTTGTTCTAGAGAAACAACAAAAAATATTAATTTATCTACGTAAATACTAAGCACTCCATACAATACTGTATAGCTATATATTTTCCGGGGGTAAAATGAATTGTTAAAAATAACAATTGCCAAACATAAAAATTTGAGCCAGGCCAGGAATTATTTCATATAGCTTCGTTTTAAATGATGTTTGAACAAAAATCAACCATAAGTACAGAAATGTTCAATACTAAACCATGTTTCCAAAATATTTGAAAGTAAACAATGTTATAACAGAGGTATACCTCGCAAATTGTTGAACTTCTTCTTTCCACTGCATTATCGAGTCGTCCAAGTCTGAATCCTGGACATTAAGTTCGTTCTTAACTTTACAAAATCGTCCCTGGCAGATGAAAGTTTCTTTCGGTCTTCGAAATACAAGTACACATAATGAAAAACAGTGAAAAATAATCATATTAGCAGTAAACGTATTGGGTTCAAACAAGACCTATACACAACTATGAGCTGTAAATTCATTTCATATTATACACGTACGTAGCTATAATTTTGACAATTAACTGAAGATATATACAACGTGTAACCTTTTTCATTCGAATAACAAGTGATTTTGCCAAGTTTAAAATTTTTCGCTTGTTCCAACTCAGAAGGTGTTCAGTAATGCATTCTTCTCGTCCTTAATACGTACAACCATTAATGCGCACATTAGTTCGTGGACTTAATCGACCAAAATACCTGAGTGGATATACAGATAAGAAAATAATACTCACCGGAGGCCGTCATATTTTTAGTAGTCGAGCCAAGTCTTGACAAATACGAATTTATTTGCTCAACTTCTTCGCCAGCAGTTGCTGCCGCACCACTTTGCCATCTTCCGCTCCAAATAACCTAAAAAGTGTGAAAAGAATCATCTATTCAAGACAACCCATTTCAGATTTATGTAACCACGGTTTAGTTACGTGAAATACAGTATTATTACAGTTTGAAAAAGCACGCTTTGTCTCATAAAATCTTTAATAGAGCATTATCGTCGGCGTATGTGGTATTTAGCTTACGAGTTATTGGGTAAACAATCATAACTTACGTATGTAACGTACCTGACATGACCAACTGTGTGATTTCCCATGCATTATAGACAGTGCTGGTGCAATATTTTTTAGCGCATTTTGATTTTCTTCCGATGTAACACGTAGAGCCCAAGGCCAATATTTGCATATAATATCTTCCCACATATATTTAACTTTATGTGGTTGTAAAAAATTCATATGCAAGTAGTGAGCATAGCCATAAATTTCTCCTCTGAAAGTAGCTTGAGCAATCGAGTGCATGAGTCCACTGAGGTCTTGATTTTGCAGCGCTTGGCACAAGAATTATCTTCATTCTATAAAAAATGCTTTAACCTAATAATAGATTACTACCTTTCAATCCTACTTCATAACACATTACCTGAATTGACTTTGAACCAAGACTTTTTAAATGAGAGTCCACAAAACTATTGTTTGCAATCAATACATCACGATAATAACACTGACTGGACCCCTGTGGTAAAAGTAAGTTATCAATTTAGAACACAAGCACTCATAAACCTCAACAATGCAGGTAAAGAATCAAACATGAGCAGTAGGTCTTTTTCTTGGATTTGTTAAATTGGTTCAATTTATTAAAACATAAAAGTATCTGAATCGTTTACAAAGGGTAATTCCATTTTTACAAGTTTGAGAATTCGCCATCCAATATCACAAACCTTGGTACTTTGCTGAATCTGTACACTTTTGATTTCCATCAATATGACATGAATGTTGATCAATACTACAAGGAGGGCAATTTTTCCATGTCTGCTCATGAAGAAGGTCAATTTCATGTTGGTATAGCTCCATTCAGCAAATGATTTTCTGAATGTGACTGAATTGATAACATTTTCCTAGTGAAACCAGTTCCAAATCAAAACATAGCACAATTATATACTATTTGTTGATTATGCAAACCCCACTGTACTATAATATAGTTCTCATACTTCAAACATACACATTATATGAAGCCTACAAAATTGACATGTGCTTGTTACAAATTTTAAACAAATTTTCCTTGACTTCCCAGAATTTACCAAAATTCACAGAAAGAAATGATCATAAAGGATTATTTTGAAATCAAGATTTATCTTGTAGCTTTTGGTTTGCAAGACAAAAATATACACAAAGTAAAAAGCACACTAACAAAGATATGTAGATAGCATAAAAATAATCACCCTTCCTCTAGAGCTGGAAATATCTTCCAAACTTCTTACAAAAGCAGATTGTGATGACCCAGGCATCCTCTTTCTAAATGCATCCCACAAATTAAAGACATCTTGACTAAATATGTAATGAAAATTTTCAGGGCTACCAGGCCACCAGCCACTCAATTATACTGTCAACAGAAATTGGTGACCACTTCCATTGACAAGATGAGCAATGTACAGTGAACCAATTAAGATCAAATCGTCCTGTTGAAGACAAAATATAATCAAGAATAACCAGTACAGTGCTCAAAATATGTGCTTCAAAGAAATCAAATCCTGGGGTTTCATAAGAAGCCAGCAACTTCATCAATGATTTGAAGTTTTAGTTTCAATCTAAAGTCTATGAATTAGTGTATAATCCAACCTGCTGCCTATGTACTTTCTAAAGGTGACTAAGATAATGAGCCCCTAACAAATCGATTTTAATAAGATGCATCATATGTACATCCATATATCAAAAATTGTTATTTGACTCTGTAAAAATTGCATAAGGACATTTTCACCTTCACAAGTGATCATAATCACAAGAGAGCTGTTGGTAGTTTTGATGATAGGTTCATTACACAACTGACATGATGATGGGTAAAGGATGGGACATGATCGATCTACAAAGATAACAGCATCATCACAGAAAAACATTTCTCTCCATCGGGCACAACAAAACAAATATTTATATAAAATTCAATAGTATGTACATTATACTTACCAATGCTGCAAATCTTTCCATCAGATGAAATGGATTGTGTTGGCTTGATATATTGAAAATAACCATCCAACCACACTTCTCGATCATGGAGAGGATTATTCTCATGGACATCATCATCGCATTCTCGACAAATATATCTCAACACACCACATTGTCTGCATCTCAGTACAGCTTCATTTTCATTGCATCTACAACACTTCATAGCAGATAAAGGAGGAGCAAATGATGACACAGTGACATTGAATATTTTTCCCTCATACTTTCCCATTTCTTCTCGATTTTCCATTCTTTTGCAAGCAGATGGCCCAGTATCCACTTCTCCAATAACCAACTGACAGCTTTCAAGAATGGCTTCAAGATCTAAAATGAAAATGAAATGATTTTATGACGTAAAGCTGTTTCTTTTCTATTTTTTTTCTAAAATATGACACAATTATAAAAAGAGTACATTGAAGTGTTAAAAGCACAGTCACATGTGTATAAAAATATAAAAAACTATGTATAGATGCAGTGGCCTGACAGCACAAAAGTTTTGCTTCTGTTATGTAAAGTTGAGATGTAAGAAGTATTATCAATAACCTCTTTCAGTAACACTGTCATCACATAACATTTCTGTGGAACATCACGTAAATCTGACGATGTTGTAGGCATTTCCTCATCTATGATAGTGATAACAACAAGTAAGATAAAATGTAACATACAAGTTACACAAAATCTAAAATGCTTCTATTTCTTTGATAAAAGTATTATTTCCCAGCACACACCTCTTTGTGTATTTCTATTGCTCGAGTGCTTTGCCTCGGCTTATGAATAATCCGTTCGCCATCTTCGTTTCTTTGAAGAACTATATCTCTACTGGCATTTTTCTTCTTAATAGTTTTATTTCTACTTCGAACACCTTGATTTGTAATAGCATTGACATTGCTTATTGCAGACAGCAGCTGCTCATCAATCGTTGGTTTACTCAGCTTACTGCGTTTATGAGACATGTGTGATTGCATAAATAAGAGGTGAAACCCCTATGTGTTTAATATTTCATAAAAAATACTGATACAGGGTACTGTAAAATATCTTCGCCCAATAACAAAACAAAATGGCGCGCGCTAAGTTTTTTGGTTTTTTCATTTCGGCAACTGGCAAAGGAGCCACTCATGTCACCAGGCCTGTTTTTTGAATGGACGTTTCAAATTGACTTATAGAGTCAATTTGAGGGTATTTTCACAATTAGCGTATAGAGTTAATTTAAGGAAGAGACTGGGTTGCCATACCGTATATGAAAATTGGAACACGATGTAAAAAGTTCGCCATACCGTATATGAAAATTGGAACACAATGTAAAAAGTTCGCCATACCGTATATGAAAATTGGAACGCTATAAATTTTGACGATACGATACAAGAAGTTTCGAACGTATATGAAAAGTTTCGCATATATTTTTTAGATTTGTCTCGAAGTATATAAAGTTTGCCATGTATAATTGTAAGTTTAGAATAAAGTCCAATTTGGCGCTCCATATAAATATACAACTAGTGAAATTGAGAGATGTTAACTACATATACATCGTCAGACAAGGGAAATTATTTTCCCAAACTAACCTTCGACTCCTAATTGCGATGCAACTACATTCCATGCGGATTTTTTTTTGTTAGTTTCTTTGTATCCTTTAAGTTTAGTGTTCCAAAGAATAGGAAAACTTCGCACGAGGTCTACAAGAAGTTCGCAATCTATATTTCCATCTTCCTCAAAAACTGAATTTTCTGTATCACCATCAATGGAAACTTGGTGTTCATATTCCTCATTCTCTTGCAATATTGATTCCAACCGAATATCCGCCATGTTGAATGTGAAAAAAGACACGTGATTAATTATTAATTTATGATTGGTTGCTCGTTTTTTTGTCGCCAAAACGCCGAATGGAAGTTGAAATTTTCAACGACTGCAGCGGCAGAAAAGTTCCCTAGTGGCCAAAAAATCGTCAACAAAAGTTACGTCACTGGCGAAATAATTCGCCAGCTGCGAGCGAAATGGTGAGTGGAAAACGGGCTTAAAGCATGTATATACTTGTGACTTATACTATGTAATACTTGTTTCCAACAAATATCAGACGTCTTTATGCGATTCTTTTCTGTGTTGCATGTCTTTAAGACTAATAAAATGGTTTCGACAGAAGTCTGGTCGAACTCAATTGCGTTGAAAATGGTAATAACAAGGAAGATTGATTCTTAATCAACTGCTGGGAATGAAAATTATCGATATTCGAGAAATTCAGTTAATTTTGATGGCTCCAAAGGTTTTCACCTTGTTCATTTGAAAGATTTCTGGCTTTAAGAACATTACAATTTTTCTTCTATTTCTCTAGCGCATTCTTTAGAATTTCTTATTGATGTTTCCTAAGGTTTTAATGGCGATCGGAACAGTCTTTTTTATTTACAGAAATACCTAAACACAAAGAAGTTGCAGGACGACAACGCGGGACAACTAGATCTCGCTGCCATCAAACATTAAAACTTTTGCTATCGCTTTCTTTGATATTGAGGACATTGTCTACAGTCGCATGTTGTGTTTTCTTTGGGCCGGGCACTAAAAATCATTGATCCAATCATTGATAATGTTTTGTGGTATAAATTATTGCTAATAGCACTTCTTACTCAAATGAACTCTCAATATGATGAACAACAGAAAAATCAGTGAAAGCATCTGCATCTGATTCATCATATGCAGTGGCGAAGACAACCCGACTATTTAGTCCTGCTACTTATTTCTTTGTTTTCCCTCACTGTAAAAGCAATAGATTTTTAAAGAAATGAATAATGATAATGATCTATACATTCAGTAAAAAGAGTGCTTGCAAATTATCCCTGCTATTAATCAGTCTACGGAAAAGATCAATTATATAAAATATGTTACAACTTTTGCAACGTTTAGTATTTGGTTGGGCTCACTTAAGCCATGTTATCTTTATGAAGCATAATTTTGAATCCAATGAACAATTCTTCCCTCACTAAGTGGTACTGGAATTAACTCCAACTTACTATCATATATGTCAAATGTTCTTCGCAACGATTCTCGGACATTTCATTTAACATGGCTAAACATGGCTGATTACTTATGGAAACAGAAACAGAATTCAAAAGTTTTTGACAAGCTAAATCTTCTGCATATATAAGAAATTCCAATTTGAGCAGATCTTTTCCATTGCCTGAGTATAAATATCGGCATGCATACGTGGGTATTAAAGTGAGCCGTGAGAGATACAGCGAAAACCACTAGTTTAAAAAATGCTTTTTATTTAACGTAAATGGAGAATTTTCTTCACCTTCAAAGAAATAGTTAATAGACGTTTATTGATCAGTTCCTTTAACCAAAAAAAATTTACTTGCAAGAATATGAGGTGGTTTTGGGCGAATATTAGGTTTTAGTATTTAACAAATTTTATAATAAATTCCATGGACGTGTTATGTTGACGTATGTACTTCTATGCACATAGTGTTCAATCAATAGTATATCAAATATTTTCTGCATGGAGAAGACTCTGAAGATGACTACCGCTAAGGTTGTCGAAACGTCAGTCAACAACAGCAAAAACAGTCCTTCTCAGGACTTTATTAACCTGGACGATCTACATTTACAAACATGTAACGATACTCCCGGGTTCAAACCATTTACTTTAGTACGCAAGTGTTTTAAAAGAGGAATTGTACTAATAACCATTGTATATAAATTAATGCATGCATTGTTTTAAACTAATTCTTATCTTCATTGATAAAGAAACTACTAAAATAGGTAGCTAACCACTACATGAAACTAATCAAGAATATTAACGTGTATATAGTGTTTAATTATATAACAAGAATAATTACATGAACACGGTAACCGGGATTCAGCGAGGCGTGTAATCATTTTGAGTCATTGAAAGGAGTAAAAACTTTAAGGGCAAAACTTACAACCTTTTCTTGCAAGCGTCATATGTCATTTTAGTCGTAATTTTCAAATCAGGCTAAATTATTTGTTTTCATTTTAAATGTTTTGTGATTTTGAAAAGTCAGAGTGAGGTGAAGTATTTAATCTTTTCCATTTACCAAAATGATTTAAGGCTTCGAGGCTACTGGGCTCATTTAATCAGCCCATAGGAATTTGACTAATTTAGTACATTATTTATAGATTTGATATGAAGTTTGTTGAGTATCTGAAATCTTTACACGAAAAAACTCTTTTATGGTTTTAGTGTTACATTTGTGAACAAGGAATTGAACAGGGTTTAAAATCTAAGGTTTTAACCCATCGTAAAATGAGAAAACTAGTTCTCATACTTTTCATAAAATGCATCTACACAGGTATAATACAGTTTTCGCCGTGATTATCATACGAAAATGTCTCACTTAACTACCCAAGAAAATGACAATTAGTTATTCTGTAAAACAGAATAAGGGTAGTCTATAAACAGAACCCCACCAACAAAAACGTATTTCCTTAAATAAAATTTGCCCAAATAACACACATAGAAAGCATACCTTCATATTTTTTTGTAGAATCTCTGTTTTACAATACTGACAAGTAACAGTTCTTTTTGGGCAATCTTTTCTCAAATGTTGATCAACAGCTCTCCTCTCAATGCTTTGATTGCATCCTTTGGGACAAGGAATCTCAACGTACTCACAAGTTTTCAGGTGGTCCTACAGATGTAATTTATACTACAGCGTTAGAATTCTTTTGTTTGAACTTTTTACGCAACTCTAGCAGCCCTTCTAATTCACAACATCAAATGTTAAGTTTGTTAGTACAATGCACGTTTATGTTACCATGGTCATCTTATTTGAATTTAAATTTACTACTAACAAAAATTAACATGTATTTTTATAGGGAGAATCGCTTGGGTAGCCTACGTTCTTAGGTCACGTCAGCGTAAGCTTTTATTTTTTTAAGAATAATCTAGCTAACTGCGCTACACAAAATTTATTCGTTCTGTAATTTCAAAATCAATAACATAAGGAGTGTGCTGTTGAGGGAAATGAAATATAAAGAAGCAACGAGGCTTGCAAGCTGAAAGGTTTTACGAATTTTGTCTTGCAAAATGCGGTACCGAAAATTGCAAAATATCGAGGAAAGCGTGTCGTCAATACTGTATAACGAGTACAAACAATTTTCGCAGCCAAGTTTTTGGCATAATGAAAAGACGTAAAACTTTACAATACGTGGAAATTAGTATGCAGGTTTATAAGTTTTACTTCATTCAGCATCATCCGGGTATGTAAAGGCCGGTTGACATGATCCAATTTGTCGGATCCAATTGTTTCGGGTCCGACTTTTGGTTGCTTGTTCAGACGGTCCGATCTTTTTGTTGATATTTATAGTTGTTTAAAGTGCCCCTGTCAAAAAAATGAAACTCACACATATGAATCTTTGTAATATGTACATAATGAAAATGGAAATCAGAATTAAATTAAAACGATTTTTGCCGAGTTATTGCGGTATGAATTGCAAAATTTTCAAATTTTAACGGCAAAAGTTTTTTAAAATCGCGAAGTCGGAAACCTGGTAACTAATACGTCACAGTAGGAACCGGTTCGCATCTCAGCTTGTTTACAAATAGTAAAAATTATTGTACAAAGGTCGATATTTACAATCAAAACTCGCTCAATTTTTCTAATAATGTCCTCATCGAACTCAGACACGGAAAGTACTAGCTACCAAACAGACGACTCTGATTGGAATTATTATCCCGGGATATTCGATATAAAAAAGACAAGTGAAGCGTCCGCTACTAAAGACGACAAAAGCACAGATGACAACGCAGACGTTGGCCCATACAGCAATGAACCAGTTGCTGATGAAGAATGGCTTTCTAACTACCGTGGAAGAAAACAAAAATATGATGACCGTTTGAAAGAACTTCAACGTAGACTTGACGGCGAAGAGAAATATGACCAATGGTAATTATTTGATGGTTTTGTAATATAATTCATCGGGATTTCTTTTAAATGAAATTTACAGTACAGAGCTTCTTTATTAAGTTTTGAAAATAACGTTTTAAGGTGTAAATGTGGCAATTGTTGAGTTGAGCTTCTTCACAATGTTAAAGAGTGTCAGTGTTGCACGGAAATAGAAGAGTGTGAACAAGCACTGAATAGCGAACTCGTTTTGCAAGAGCTCAACACTGAGAATCCTCCGACTTGCATTGTCAACCATCCTGGTTTTCATAGCCTGTGCTTAGACAAGTGGTCACTTCGTCTAGCAGCTGCAAAGTTACGTACTAAGAAAAGCAGGAGTACCGTCAAACAAGCACAGAAGATAAGTAAGTGCATTATTACTTTGAGAGAAAGACAATGTGTCATTTATGTTTCTGTACTCGTTTCTGTTCATATTCTTAACTCTAAAAATATTAAGATACAATCATACACTACAATTCAAAAAGAGTTATATATAAACTAAAATACCACCTGTTTTTTGGCCACTTCAATGTATTAATTGCATTTTTAATTTGTAGATTTTTTCGAAGTACGTCTTATAGAAGTTTTATGTGGTTAGTTTTTGGACATATGGGAAATAAAAGGTATCCCTTACCGGCATGTGCATATGACAAAATAAGACGGCAGTTCCAACCAGCTGACAATGACGATTTTGTAGGATTTGTGGAAGAGGAAATCTCTTGAAAATTTTCAACTGTTGTATTTAGGGTTTGTGGGATTAACTTCAAATTATAACAAAAACTATATTTATATGTAATATGATTGTTTGATTATGTAATATGATTGTTTGATCTTGTTATAATCTCGTTTGTTCTAACTCTGTTGTCACTCTGTTGCATCTAATCTGACTCTCTTGTTTTGGGACAGTCCTTTATTTTGCTATGTCCTGCCATTAAATTTCTGCAGACAGAACACCTTGGTTTTGCTCTGTTGGCAGATGATTTGCCACCTTTGCCGCCTTTTCTTGAGTAAGGACTACTGAAACTAAAATTTCATTATACGATAAGTCAATCAAGAAGATATTAATCCAAATGACGAAAGAGTTTGGTGTTACATACACATTGAAGAAAAAGAAGGATAAGATTAACTTAATTTTAGATTATTATTATGCACCTGGTGTTGTTGGAGGCATATCTTCAACAACAATGGTTTTTCTGGCATTTCTCTTCATCACAGCTATTTCTCTTCTCTCTTTTTCAAGCATGGTGTTCATGGGAGCAGGTGCCATCTTATTCAGCTGTTCATAAGCTATCTTAAGATTGCCATTTTGAGATGCTCTCACATATGTCTGGTAGATCTCATCAACATAATCTAACATTATAATCTAACAGTGTTGCGTTTGATAAAGTCAGAGTTATAGTTTTTTTTGTCAAAAACACGTTTGAGATAGTTGTTTTCGTTTTGTAGAGCGTCCGGTGAATCACATATGATTTGTGCACGTCTTGTTAATGTTCTGATTGTGGTGGCTTTGTGTGATGTAGGGTTGTAAGATGATTGGTCTAGTAGTCGGTCAGTATGTGTTGGCTTGCGATAAACTGTTGTTCCTAGTTTTTGATTGTCATGTTTTACCAAACAGTCGAGAAAAGGAAGAGTTACGTTTTCTTCGACATCTTTGGTAAATTGTATGTGGCTGTTCTGTTTGTTGATGTGAGTATGGAAGTCATCAATCTCGTCTGCATGTAGTGCTGTGATTGTGTCATCTACGTAGCGAAACCAAAAAGGTAGTGCATGTTTGTAAGTCATGAGTGCCCGTTCCTCTATAGATTGCATTACAATTTCAGCAACTACAACAGAAACGGGCGAGCCCATTGCTGTCCCATGTAATTGTTTGTAGTGTGTTCCTTTGTATTGTCGAGGTGAGGCAGAGCTCTAGTAACTCCATAATGTCTTCTGTCGGTAATGGCAGTACGTCCGTGGTGTTTGTAATGAGGGTTTTGTACAAGTGTGCCAGATTAAGTGGAATACTGGTGAACAGCCTGCCTCACCTCGACTTACTCCAATACAAAGGAACACACTACAAACAATTACATGGGACAGCAATGGCTCGCCTGTTTCTGTTGTAGTTGCTGAAATTGTAATGCAATCTATAGAGGAACGGGCACTCATGACTTACAAACATGCACTACCTTTTTGGTTTCGCTACGTAGATGACACAATCACAGCACTACATGCAGACGAGATTGATGACTTCCATACTCACATCAACAAACAGAACAGCCACATACAATTTACCAAAGATGTCGAAGAAAACGGAACTCTTCCTTTTCTCGACTGTTTGGTAAAACATGACAATCAAAACTAGGAACAACAGTTTATCGCAAGCCAACATACTGACCGACTACTAGACCAATCATCTTACAACCCTACATCACACAAAGCCACCACAATCAGAACATTAACAAGACGTGCACAAATCATATGTGATTCACCGGACGCTCTACAAAACGAAAACAACTATCTCAAACGTGTTTTTGACAAAAACAACTATAACTCTGACTTTATCAAACGCAACACTTACAAACCCAACGAACCCAACGAAAAGAACAACTCAGTGACAACAGCAACGATACCTTACATCAAAGGTACGTCTGAGACTATCTCGCGTATCTTACGACCATACAACATACGTATCGCACATAAACCAATCACAACATTACGACAAGTACTAACGAACATAAAGGACAAAGAACAACCCAACGAACGACAAGGTGCAGTTTACAAAATAAACTGCTCCGACTGCCACGCCTCCTATATCGGGGAAACTGGCAGGAACTTAAACATAAGACTTACTGAGCACAAACGAGCTACTAAGAAACAAGACAAAACTAATCACATTGCCGAACATCACCGAATCACAAAGCACAACATTGACTGGGACTCGGCAAAATGCATCACTTACAGTACTGACTATAGACAACGGCTTACATTAGAAAGTTGGTATACCAACTTGGAACAAATTCCCTGAACAGATCACAGCAATTACCGGCACCTTACAAACGACTTATTCACAATACAAACAAACGATCAACTAAAAACATTACACTTCAAACTAATTCACAATGACAATACACAATTGACACCCACACACTACAACTAAAAACGTCACACCTAAATCACACATCACAACTAAAAATAAAATATTTCACTTCACACTAATCCACAATGACAATACACATTTCCTGCACATTTCCTGTACACACAATACAATGACGTAAGAACCAGACAACAAATACGGCTAACCTGACGTTTACTCCTCATTTGACTCTGAAGATGACTACCGCTAAGGTTGTCGAAACGTCAGTCAACAACATCAAAAACAGTCCTTCTCAGGACTTTATTAACCTGGACGATCATCATTTACAAACATAAAACGATACTCCCGGGTTCAAACCATTTACTCTAGGTACTTTAGCCGACAGACCAGAAAACATTTGCGAAAAATCTTCTTTTGCGAAATGTGCTGAGCAAATACTGGAATTAGGTGTTGGATCCCATTTTGCCCGTTTCAACCGTACGAAATCAATCCATCGTTTACGTCTTATTTTGGCTTCTGGCCTTTCATCTCCGGAAAACGGTATGAAATGAAGCGAGACTCCTTTTTTTACATTAGAGACATTAGAGCAACCAGCCACAATACATCTATTTGGCATTTTCTATTTTGCGTGACTTTTTCGGGCCGCCAACTACAGTACAAGAACACTTCGACAATACACGCTCTAATGTTTTCGTGGATCAATAGGCCTGACCGGATCCTACTGTGACGTCACTAGACTGATTTGGTACCAATCTCTTATGCGCGGTTTTCGAATTTTTACTTCTCAAAATTCTATGTTCAAATGACTATAATTTCTGCACTAAATTCAGAATCGAAATTCGATTTTCAAATAACGCATGTACGTATTACAAAGATTCATATATGTGAGTTTCATTTTTTTGACAGGGGCACTTTAAATATTTATAGTTGTGTGAAAAGCCATTTGTGTTATCCAGTGCTTTTATCTACACACTTATCGTATTTTTGTTCTTGTTTCCAAGTCTTTTTAGTCGGATTCCTTTGACTTTGTCGAATAAAAATAAAGCAAGTTCTATTTCCATCCGATTTTTCAGATTGACGGATCTGACTATGGAAGCTCACTTTATGTGTTCACCCACGATCTGTTTTTATGGATTCGACAAAATCGGATCAGACAAATCAGAGCGTGTCAACGAGCAGTAAGTCAGAAACACTAACAAAATTATAGTTAAAATTGAAACTAATTTTCAATAATTCTATGGGTAAAGTTTTGTCTTCAAAAAATTGTTTAGAAATTTTCAACCATCAGAATTATTCCCATATTATTTTCAACTTATAATGAAGCGTTGCAATGTTTTCTGACTTACCATTGACCCACCACTGATTATAATCCTTGTCTTAGCCATTTTAATAGTGAATAAATATCTATTTTGATATCAGTTAAGGCTGCTTTCCACTATTGCAATTTTCAAAGCGCGTACACATACGTTTCCGTACGTATCCTCCAAGCGTCAACGCACAAGTTGAGAACAACTTAACTTTTACGCAGCAAAATTGAAAACGCGAGCAATTATCCAATGAAAATGAATTTACAGATTACGTGCTTTACAGTGAAGTACGCTTTTGCAAATTGGTTTACAAGTTGAAAAAGATGGGAAAATATACAAAAGTTGAGAAGAAACTTATTGAAGAAATTGAAAATATCCAGCGCTTTGGAATACAAAAGACACTAAGGGGGTGTTTACATGAATCCGGAATGACTTTCAATCCCGATCGAAACGTGATGTCAATCTGTGTTTACATGAAACTAATTGTTGATTTTCTTCGCACTCATTTTAACCCATTTAGTCTCTTTATTTACTTACGAGCTTCAATTTGCCAGAAGACAATACCCATGGCACACGCGTGCTTCGTCTTTAATCACAATATCATTTCAGAATGAAACTCAATTCGCGTTTACATGAGATAAAAAGTAAATTTCGATCCGGAATGAAACTAGGAATGAACTCGATCCGGATCGAGTTGTGACTCATTCCGGATTCATGTAAACATGCAATAGGATTTCTTTTAAAGTGGAATGAGTTCATTCCGGATCGAAACTCATTCCGGATTCATGTAAACACCCCTTAACTATAACAACAAAAATATTAAGGAAAATGCGTGGCAAATAGTGACTGATGCTGTGAATGCAGCTTGTCAATCAACGTTTCAGGTAATATAAATGCATATGTTGTGTTGTGTTGTAATAAACGAAGTGTATTCTAAAATATTTTTTCACCCAGTAAAC